ACACTTAGCGGTTTGGGGTAAGTAAATGCCTAAGTTCACATCTTGCAGCTGAAGAAGCTGTGTTCTTCCCAGAACTTGAGCCTTGGCAATTTTACCAGGCAAAAATCCAGACACAGGAGGAGGAGGACAGAATTAGTACAAGTGTGTACGTCTGTGTACTTTAAACCAAAGATTAACACTTGTCGGTCTTGCCTAGCCTTGCCTATGTAGAAACTTGCATGCCCCTTTGATATGCTTGCCATCCATCTCCTGTAGTGCTAGCGCTCTCATCTCTTTCCAGTTAACAACATGCAGGGCTGGGCTGAGGGGGGTGATATGGGGGCAACTGTTTCAGTGTCTTGTTTCAGAGGCTTCATCTCATAATGCCTAGACCCTAACGCACCATTTGTGAAGCTGCTCAGGATGATGACTCTCTCCTGTTGCCACATTCTCTGTGCGCATGTGAAGGCCTTTGCAGTGAGTTGACTGACGCTCGTACACTTAACAGCTGTTCTGACTTGATCACCTTGGGGGTGGTGGGAGGGGCTCACATTGTCCCAGCTCTTCTTTTTTGCAGACTTCACAGAGAGAAGCGTGTCTGAAGCAGATCTGTTCAGTTGGCAAGTAATAAATGATGGCAGTGTGCTTGATCTGCTTGCGTAGAAAATATGAATCTGCCTCCTTTCCCTTGTGTGGAGTAGTGATTGTTGAAGGAGAAATAAATCGCTGAGTGACAAAATGCCTGTGGTTTGAAAGGAGCTCTTGAATCCGATGTCCAGTAAAAACCCTGCCGTGTAAACGCTCGTTGTATGACTGAGAGACACGTGCATTTTGACTGTGCTGCTTTAGGTAACCTGCTGTTTTGTTCTTCTTTGGCTGCTGGGGGAGGGGGCAAGGGTACTGAAGCCTTTAAGTCTCTTCCAGATGCATCTTCACATCTCACAGACACCAGAAATAAAACCCTTCCAACCCAACAAACCATCAAGAAGCGAACATCACATTCCACCAGTTAGTGGTCGTATTTTCCATGCAATGCTTTTGTGTGGGTCTCTCCTTTTTCAGTTTCCTCACAGTTTTGAGCAACAGCACACAACACCCCAATAAAGCCAGCTCTCCTCGAGGAGCCACAGAAGTCATGGCAGTAAGAAACAGTTGTGGTCAAAGCACTTTTGTATGGGATGAGTGGGAGGGGGCTGGTGACAAACCAGTGTCTCTAGATTGCTTTTCACAGACCAGTAGAAGGAACTGCCAGACACAAGAATTCACACTTCAATGGACAAAAGAACAGGTGAACCACATTTTCTCTCTTTTCACAGCAGGAATCATGAAGCCAGAATGTTAAGAGACTGGGAAGTTTCTAATGCATCTTCCCCTTCTGCCTCTGTAGGTTCAGCTTCATGCTGAAACCCCAATCACAATGGGAGTAAATACTGTATGTAAGTTCCATCCTTAACGGATGCTTGAGGCAATGGTGGGTTGAGACCCGATAAGCTTTAACAGCCGAAAGGGATCCCCACTGAAAGAGGAGCTTCATGCTCCGAAGCCTCTCCAGACACCTTGTAATGCCTAGTTGGAGTGGAGGCAGAACTAATGGCAAAGAATTGAAGAACCTCCTGAGAAGACTGGCTTGCCCAGTGTCATTGGCAGGATGGGGCCCTTTGTGATAACTCTGCAATGGGCTGGCAGAATTGCCACCAGACTATAAGGTGTCTGTGGCCATGGTGGTGCTAACACTGAATCATGGCCATCTTTCAGTTTTTTAAGTCATTGACTTGACAAGTGCTTTAAGAGGTTTTGTGGGGGGTGGGATTATGCCGCAACCCGCTTTTCTGCTAAGAATCTTCCAGGAACAGCTATTGTGCACATAACTCAGCCAACACAAAGCGTTGACTCCATACTAAAGCTTGGATCCTCTCCAGTACTTCTGTTCTCAAGGTAATCCCTTAAAATACCAATTTCAAAACCAGAGCTAGCAATCGGCTTGTTTGGCCAGTAACCTCTCACTCCAAAGCTAACATCGCAGTTGAAGGAAGGTAACTACTGAAACCCTTGACGTTATCCGAGAGCAAAATACTGATGATATGACAGGCACAGACTCTGAACAAGTAAACATCTAAATGCTGTATGATAAAAGCAGTAACCAGCGGTTGTACGTGTTGTGATCGTGGGACATAATGGGTGGGTACCATATGCTTGGCTAGGCAGCAGATTTCCAGTTGTGATCCACAGAGTGGCATTGGGGAGGGTGTTGCAACTCTTGTGCTAAGACTCTTTCAGGTCGCAATAAGGGAGTAGTCAGAAGCGGAAGCTTTATGAAGCAGATTCCTTCAAATCTCCAAATCTCTCTTAAGGTTTTTCTTTTCCTGAGAGAACAATCTTGTGTTTTCTCAGGTTTTGCTTTTCACCTTGCTGCATTACACACACAAAAAAAGCAAAAGACACTGGTGGTCGGCACTCCTGGTTTCCAGGATGGGGTTCAAGTCCCTGCGGTGTCCTTGCTTGCTTCCAATGCAACTCCTATATGTTTCACCTCTTTCTGTCCTTTCTGTGCTTTTGTGATTTAGCAAAGATTATAGGATGTGATTTTACTGATAGATTTCCTATGAGGACATTGCATATGATTTAAACACAGTAAGAATTAATATTAGGCAATTGCTCCCATTTCATTAACTCACTATTTGTGTGTGTGGTGCTGGCTAAATTGTCATGCTCACTTCTGTAGGTTTTTGATAATAGGTAGGGATTCTTCATCTCTTTAGATCAAGGTGTATAAGTATGGTAGGATATGCTGCCTGCTTGAGTTGTGATTTTGCGGTCTGAAACATTTATGTATAATAAATCAAGCTTTCTTTCTTAACGTGTCTCAAGAGTCTCCACCCCCATCATTCTGCCCGGACGCAGAGGTCCAGCGCCGAGAGCCTTCTGGAGGTTCCCACCCTGCGAGAAGCAAACTTACAGGGAGCCAGGCAGAGGTCCTTCTCGGTAGTGGCGCCTGCCCTGTGGAACACCCTCCCATCAGATGTCAAGGAAATAAACAACTATCTGACTTTCAGAAGACATCTGAAGGCAGTCCTGTTTAGGGAAGCTTTTAATATTTGATGAATTATTGTATTTTACTATTTTGCTGGAAGCCGCCCAGAGTGGCGGGGTATAAATAATAAATTGTTGTTGTTAATTTGTTCGCCTCTAAACACTACTGGCTTGCCTGCCTGGCATTTAAAAGGTCTTTAGGATCGCCAGCCCAGAATAAGATAAAGTATCGGGTGTCAGGAGTTTTATTTAGGCAAGAATAGGGGCAAACACATTCATGAACTTACACATATTATAACCCCAGCAAAAGACCCCAAACCCTCTGTTGGTGTGTGCAAATGTATGAATACACGTTGGACACGTATGTGGGTTTAGACACATACTGTTACAGTTCCATTTCAAGTCCAGAGAAGAGCCATCCAATGGTGTTATTTTCCTTTATTGAGCTTTTATTAATGCCCTTGAATTTTCTGATGTATGGGAAGTCAGGCTATAAAGTCTATAAACATTAAAAATGTGGAGAGGATCAAGATAATGATGGATAGGAAAGAGAAAACAAATTCAAGTGCCAGCTTGGCCAATGGACAGAGATAATGTAAACCTAAATAAAAATCTCAGACTTGATTGAACATGAAACATTTAATGCTTTTATACATCCCTCATAAGATTTTCCAAGAGGGTACATAAGGAATGGAACTTTTGGTGCTTGTGAAGAAAAAGATGTACTCATTCTCTCTCTAGTTGAGTTTTCCCTGTTGCATTGATAACACAAAATAAATATAGCAAGATTTTCTCTCCCTATATACCCACTAACTCACCAAAAACACTTTGTTCTGTCAGAATCAAACCATGGCCATACTCATGCTTTTGGAAAGGTCCAGTGATGAATGAAGTATTAAAACCTTTTGAAGAAGAATAATTAAAATCCTACAGGAGCAACATCTAATTCTGATTTTACATGGCAAGCCAAAATATATTAACTGGAAAAAATACAGATTTTTCACTGGATAAAAATATAATAAACTAGCTAACTAGTCTATATAAAAGTGTCTTTTGAAAGCATCTACAAAAGATAAAAGACTAAGTAGAAATTGAGAAACTTTTATTTTAAGGCAGAAAGTGTTTTTTTTAAAAAAAAGTTATCAAAATACTCTGTGCAGTTTATAAATATGCACAATTTTGAGCATACAATCTGGGGCAGCATTTGCGATGGAGGTAAACAAATTGCTCAGTAATGGCCCATAGCTTAAGATGCATTGTAAAAGTTAACCGATAGCAGCCTTGTACCTATTCATGCAGCAAAAGGCACTTAGCTAGGTGATTTCTAATATTTTTCTTTGCTGTGAAATATAACCAAGAAAATAGGTTTCATTTGTCTGTTTCTTGACCCCCTGGTGTTAAGGAGGATGACTGCAAAGAGGAACTTTACAAACAGCTTCCTCTTTGAAACCCTAACCAAATCTGACCACACCTGCAACACATATGCCACTGACTCTGGCCTTGGATTCCAAACCTTTCCTAGGTGCAGTGAATGACTAACATGCCTCTTAAATAAAGTCCAAAATGTCTGTCAAACACCCATTTGGTTCAAGGGTGGGGGACACGTTGGAGAGGGGCCTCCGGTTGTTTCTGGACTGCAACTCCCATCATCCCTGACTACTGGCCATGCTGTCTGCCGGGGCTGATGGGAGTTTGGAGTCCCAACAGCATCAGGATTCCCATCCCTGATTTAGTGTTTGAAATGAAATACATTTTAATGCTTTCTGACCTTGCTCTATAAATATGCCTACTGGTTCTGGGAGCCATTTTATTATGTGACTAAGAATGCCTCATTTCCATTATCCAAAGAGTACCACTTTTAAAACAAAATTACATTTTATATGTAGATTATAAAACGGAGGGGCGTCAACAGAGGGCCATGGAACAGATGCAACCATTTCTTTTCAACACCAGTTTTTAAGGAATGCGTCATTTTCAGAGTCCGTTTCCTCTCAAATGCTCCTGGGTGGTAAACGCTGCTTGTACATCCCTGCAATAGCTTTGGCTGTGCTGTAGATCATCTGTCGACGGGACATGCCGGTGAATGCAGAGTGCCAATCCGTTCTGTTGACGTGCAGTAATTGCTTCTCTATCACTTCCCCCACTGTCACCAACAAACCTGACCATCTTAGGTTATAATCCTGAGGAGTTAGACTTTGAGCCTGTGAAATAATTTAAATCGGGAGTGAGTACAGGGGAAAAGGAGAAGCACCCAAGCAAGTTCAACCTCCTCCAGAGCTATATCGCCATAGTTCAAAGTTCATTAAAAAGCATAAATAATACTGCTCTTAGCATTTGACTTAACAAGTGTAACAGTCAAAGTTTTATAGCAGCTATAAGTTCTATAGAAATTCTATAGAATTTAAAGTGCTGCTAGTGAAATTTGTTGTGAAAAGAACCTCTGGTTTAACAGGCTAAGGGACAACAGGAACACTTTATTTTCTCCTTTTCAGGAACAAATTGGCCAAACTTTCACCCAGTGACAGCAGATTATAGACATTTTTTCACAGCACCATCAGTGCCCATGACTAGGTTCTCTGAGATGAGGTTGAAAGAGCTGGGTACGTTTAGCATGGAGCATAGACGGCTAGAAGGCTCTCACATTTGCTTTCTGTTGCTCCAGAGGGTGGAAGTGGAACCAATGGGCCCAAATTGGAAGGGGAATCTCACTAAACATGAGGAGCCTGCGATAGCTCAGTTGGTAGAATGAGACTCTTAAATCTCAGAGCTGCAGGTTTGAGCCCCGCATTGGGCAAAAAGATTCCTGCATTGCAGGGGGTTGGACTAGATGGTCCTTGGGGTCCCTTCCAACTCTACAATTCTGTGATTCTGAGCCTCCTGGCAGTGCAGGATGTTCAAAGGTGCCTCAGAATGAATGAGGCTGACTCGCTGTGGTTTCTAAGCCCTCCAGCCTACAGACCATCTTCTTAAGGAACATCCCCCAATGCTTATGCCAGCTCACTCACAAATGTTCAATATATTAAGCGGTATAGATATCAATCAATCAAATGTAATCCACATTATTTTTTAAAATATATGCAATGAAAGAGACACTAAAGGTGATAGAATTTAATGGCAATCATTTTTAGAAGTGTGTACAACTAGAGTGATATTCTGGGGTTCTTGGCTACCATCCCTTAGAAGAGGCTTTACCTGCTGCGTTGGAAAAGGATTCAGCCCCTTAGAGATTAAAACTTACCTGTTGTACATATTCCAAAGGCACTGGCGTTGCTTGTGTAAATGTTTCGAGGTGAATGCCATGGACGGGATCTTCGACAATTAGGCAGCCAATATCAAACCACCTGTTACAGTGACAAAAAGTTTATTATCAAATCATATTAAATACGAATTCCGCGTATTAACTGTTTGGAGAGCTTAGTAGTTTTGAAAGGCAGGCAGCCAAGGCACCTCCACTAACACTTTCCCTTTGGAAACAATTTTTAGTTTTCCCAGCCAAAAGCTAACAAGGAAGAACTAGCTTTTTTTCCAGAATTTATAGTCACGTTCCAAACTCTAAGGAAGTTAATTACAAAACGTCAGAGGTCTGTTCCGGCAGGGTTTTGCTTGCTAAACATTGCAGGATCTGGCCACGCTTGAAAGTGAATTATTTAATTATGGGTTATGCAAACTATGCCCAGTTTTAAGCACTAGGGACAAGAGGGTGAATTATACCAAGCAACTGCAACAGGCAGACAACTCTTATTCCAGCTCCTGTTTAGAGTATCAACAAGTCCTGTGGATATGATACTAATTGACTTTTATCTTGAGTAACATGTTAAATGGCCTTACTTGTCAGGAAGCAATTCCGCAATGAAATTTTCCACAGACACGGCAGGCTGCTTCTCATGAATGACTCCTGTCCTGCGCAAGCTGTCAATCCTTTCTTGAGCTCCCTAAAGGACAAGGAAAAGAAGCAGACAATACAGTCAATACAGCTCTCATTCAGTACTTACTGCTTGCGATGAACCTTAGCCAAAAGCAAAATCAAAGATCTGAGAACTTCCGGGGTGGCGCCTCCGGAAAATGGCGGAATTCCCTTCGAACTGAAGGGAACCCGCTGCACGGAGGCTTGGGTCCTGCCGCTACGGCGCAGCGGGGACCCTCAAAAACACAGGCGGAAGAAGCCTGTGGGCGTGGGACTCGGCGGGCACCGAGAGCGCTCTCTCCTTGAACAGGAGCCCGGTAGCGGGCTCCGGAGTGGAGGTGCGTGGTGCTGTGAGTCGTCTGCTTCCTCCGTGCAGCAAAGCCGCACTGCCGTTTTGGAGAGCGCTGCCTTTTTCCTGGACAATTTGGCATCTAAAACATCTATCCGTGAGTACCCGATCCTGGAAGAGCTGAACTACTTTTAAGATTGGTGAATAAATAAATAACATTGGACTTGAACTTGAAATTGAATTTAATTGGGACTCGGAACGGAAAGGTCTAAACAGGAAGTCGCCTTCCGTTCTTTTGTTACGTGAAGAAAGCAAAGACAAATTATACTAAAGCCTGAAAACTAAATTCTGAGAGAACTAAAATTCAACATCTAAGATTTCTGAACCCCCTTTTAGTGCAGGAGAAGAAGGGGGTTGTTTTGATCTTTTCAACCCTGCGGAAGTGAGTTTAAAATAAAGTAATTTTCCACCGCCCTGAACCAGGAGCGGGCTGTCAGAACTGACGTTTTGAAGCTTATCCAGCTCGACAGATAGTTAAAAGAAGGGTAACATTTTGATTCTACTGTTGCCTCTTGAATTTGAAAGGGGGTAATTTTGGATAAAGTGTTTCTGGAAAAAGAAAGATTGTTACTGTTGTTTTTCCCCCTCTTAAAAAAAAAAAAAAAAGGGTTTTCCATCTAGTGGAACTGAGTGAAATTGCAATGCAGAGAGTTTAAAAGAGAAGGATCATTCTCGTGGGAAAGAATTTTTTCTGACCTTGAAGGACAATGCTTGTACAAAGGCTTGAACAAGTGTTCCTGGAAGGTTTTGCAAAATTAAGTGCCCAGCTGGACCAGATGCGTCAGGAGTCGACCTTGATGAGGACGGAAGTTACCAGAGCACAGCAGCAAACAAATGAAATTCAGTTAAAGTCTACACAAGTATATGAACCTGCTGTAGCGACGGAGGCTTCAGAGATGGAGGGACCTATGGATGGGCAAGATCAGTCTTTGAACTTGATAAATGAACTTGGGACAAACCTGATTCGGAAAGATGAAATGTGGTCAGATTTGGAAATGGGGGATGGATTAACACCCCTCTATATGGTTATTTGGACTTTCCGAGTCTAGTGATGGGCCATCAGAGGAATGGAGTAGTCGAAGTCTCCAAGTTTTGTGGAAATTGGAAGTGGTATTATCTGCTGTCTGGCTTAGGTAATGGGTTTGGGATGGATTTGCTGCAAAGAGTCAAAAGCATCTTCTTGCTGGAGTATCCACGACTGAAAGGGAAATATCAACAAGAGTGGCGAAAGGGGCAAGAAAGAGACTTGAGGGCCTCGGATACGAGACAACCAGGTTAAGGAGCTGGATTATTGAGGTTAAAAGGACTGACAATCCCGGGTCCAGGGGAGGGAGGCTGGAAGTTGACTGGATTGAATCTGACTTATTGTTTTTGCTTTCTTATTTTTAATATTGGGAATGTTTATAAATGTTTGAAGGATGTTGAATGAAATTATATGACTTAAGTAAGGATTGGTAAATGATTTGAAAAAGGTAATGATGTAAGAATTTGCTAAATATTGAATATAAGCTTTGAGTTTTAAAGTTTTTATATGACAAGAGGGAAAATAGAATAAGGAAACGCAATGATAGATTGTTATGAAAAAACAGAAAGGATTTGCTGTAAAAATTAAATACTAAGAAACAAGAGAGGGAAGGAGGAGGAAGTCTAGAAAGGAAGTTAATGGAGATCGTAAAGGATTTTATATTTCTGTTTTTCTGTTTTTCTTTTTTTCTTTTTGCGGCTGGGTTTTTTCTTCTTTATTATTTCTGTATTATTTTTGTTTTATTTGTATTTTCAAACTTTTTTGGAAATTTTTGTTGTTACTTGTTACTTTTTGAAAATTTAATAAATATCAATTCTAAAAAAAAAAAAACAAAGATCTGAAGTAAACCAACTGCAAATATTCAAGTTTACAGCAGGGAAATGGGACGCTCAACTGCAATCTCAGTGTGTCTTTGGTTCCTTAGTGACCAAGTCCTTATTTTGTGCTTTTATAAAAATGGATTATGCTTTGTTTCATTTTTGTAGATTATAAAATGTAGTCGTGTGAAAAAGAAAACATTGCCAAAGAGTTATTAGGTGCTACATTGTTGTGTATGAAACAAGTGAAGGTACATTTTAAATGATTTTTTAAAATATCACAAAAGTGATACAAATCTCCAGGAAACGACGGCGACTCGCCTTCAATCCAGCTGCGTAGCCAACTGGCTGTGGCGCAATGTTGGACTGCCCAGCTTCTCCTGTAACTGTGGCCATTCCAAACACTTCCTGAAAAGCTTCTCTTACAGCAGCAACCTTGACTTCTTTAGTAGAAGTGACAACAATGTCCAGTTCTCCCCCAGATTCTATAACAAAAAAACATTAAAACATAATCCTATACAGGCAGATACATTCAGACCGTGGGGTGGGGTGGGAGAGAACTTGTGTTTGCCAGTCAGGATCCCTCCCTTTTCTTGGCAAAGCAATTATCTGGAGATGGACCAGGGTGCATATTTATTGTCATCTTTCACACACGTGTCTCAAGGCAACGCACTATATATATTTAAAATGGCACAGAAAACAGCAGACAGCAGCAACTAGCTTTAAAAAAACTATACAATGCAGACACTCATGGCAGACACACACACACACACACACACCAGTCTAGGTGTTGACCGAACAAAAATGTCTTCAATTCTTTTCTGGAAGGTGCAGATAGCAGGCACATATCAGGACAGCTGCAGCCATACTAAAAGCCCTGCATCATGCTCTGCTATGGTTTAGTGAGATGTGAATAAGCGGCTTCCATATGGGGTTACCCACTCCCCCACCTCCTGCATGGCCAAGAGTCTGGAAGTTTCCACAATGCTGTTTGTCAGGTCATCTAGACCAATTGTTAATCCTCATTATGGTTACCTTCAAACAAACCAACTTCAAACCATGGCTTCAGGAAGCCAACTTGTTTAAACTAACCATAGTTAAGACTGATGACTGTTCTAGGTCTGAATGACATGCCAAGCTGTGGTTAACTGAAAGTGGAAGCAAAATATTCCCCCCCACTTCTTCTCCCAACCATGTGTGAGAAAGAGGGGTGAGTGGAGGAGCACATAAGGCTGGGAGGAGGCCAGCTAGACTCTTTCACTTCTCACAAAACCAAATGCAGCCATTGGCTGCTACAACCACTTGTCCCGCAACTAGATACCCAATACTATCAAATTAGCGGCCGTTGTAACTTCCTTTATGAGTTCACTCTTCGAAACACACCGGGAGCAACGTCAGTGAAGATTGTATTGCTATGAAGATGCACTTGGCAAATCTGCAAAATGCCTCCACTGGCTGTGTGGCCTGATGTTTGCAGGAGAAGCTAAGATTGTGATCCATCAATTAGAAACAGAAAGAGACAATGTCTCATCAACCAACAACCCCAAAAGAGAGGCTTTGCTGCAGCCTAGGTTTGTGAGGGCCCTGAGTAGGATGAGTTGCATGCTGCCCCCCCCCCCAGGCCCACAGGCTTTCTCCACTTACTGATATAGGGAGCCATGCCAGGATCCAGAGTTGTGATCATTGTCTCCATTGAGTGCTTGGTTTTATCCAGCACGGACTTCACCACAGGATTCCCTGCCACACCCTGCAGGGAAAAGGCACAACTCATTCAGCTCATTTTGCTCTCAAGGCTATGCCTGATTCAGCCATTTGCTTCTTGCAGATGTTGTATTTCAGACCCTCCAAGTGTCCCTAATTTCCAGGGACAGTCCCAGATTTACAGAAGCTGTCCCAGTTTCTGATTTGATCCAGAAATGTCCTGCTTTTCATTAGGACACCCCTACTTTCATCGGAGAAATGTTAAGAGGGGACATCTCTATTTTCATCAGAGAAATGTTGGAGGGTGCGGCATTTTTTACTTTGAGGGTGGCTCTGGGATTGCTATTGAGGTGAAGAGCGGCTTGTCAATATCTTATACAAGTAAATATATGACACCAGCTCAGGGAATGCAAAATACAAGTAGAGAGAGTAAAGGCACGCATGCTAGCCCCACTCTCTCTGTGTGCCCATGTGCTCAAACTCAGAACAGTCTAAAAACTACAGTGGTACCTTGGCTTGCATATGTCTTGGTTTGCATACATTTTGGATTACAAACACAGCAAATCTGGAAGTGCGTTTCCCAGTTTGCAAGCTTTTTTTGGATTACAACCCCTTTTTTTTTATTACAAACAAATTTTTTTGGGAGGCCCCATTGGCGAAAGCGCGCCTTGGGTTACAACCTGCTTTGGTGCACAAACAGACCTCCGGAATGGATTATGGTTGTAAACCAAGGTACCACTCTATTCTCATGGCTACACCACCAGCCTAATTATTTTTTTTTACTCCCCCCTCCCCTCCTGCTCTGTGTAGCATCTTGCCTGATAAAAGGATCTGGAGAACTCAAAAACCTGCCTCACTTCTGTAATATATGCTTGGTCACAAAGAAACTATTGTCTGACTGTGTGGTTTGGAGGCTTTTCTTATGGACCAGCAGCACAGCTACCTTTGCTTTTCAGCCTTACTTTGATAAAGCCCCATAGTCCTCCTCCAGCAGATGCGTCACTCTGCACGACAGCTCCCCGGGGGTCTTCGTGTTCCTCTGGGAAAGTAATTGAAGAGCCTGCTCCAAAGCCAGGTGCCAGTGGGGGTGCCCCACAGGGCTGCTGTGATGCTGGGCCAGTGAAGACACCTGAAAACCAACAGCAAGGAAACATTTTGCGTAACCCACCATGGTTCGCAACTGCTGTAACCTGCCATTTCTTATTCAACAATTAAAACAATACTGAACATCTTCAGTTTTCCAGAAAAAAACCTGTTTATGTCGAAAGACCTTTACCAGTTTAAAGACACAATTTGAGTTTAGAGGTAACTGTACAATGGAATAGACTGCCACATTCTGACCACGTAAAACTAGTGGCAGTTTCAACCCTCACACAGGCCTCTTTCCAACCTCCATCTTGGCAAGCAAGAGGCATTATCACAGTTCAATAATACCTTGCTTTTTATTATAATATTTATTAAGTTTTCCAATTTAATAATCCAATAAAAACCACATTAAAACATTCCAAATTACAATACAATAAAAAAGCCAAATATAAATGCCGAATTTTATATCTTTGGGTGACTTCCCATGCTGTGAATTTCACGAAGTGCTGATCATCTAATATCACATTGCTTTTCTTAATTAATCAACAAGCCATTCCGATGTTATCAATAACACCTTCCAGCCTGGCTAAAGTACCCGAGGAGAGCTGGTGTGAGAGGAGGGAGGGGGAAATGTGGGCTGGGGAACGTCTTAAGGGCTGTATATATCCCACAGCCTAGAAGTCAACCTCACACTTGCAATACAGTGTTTGTGGGTTTAAAAAGTGGCTGAAAACAGCTTGGGACCAGGTTAGATCTGTAAGACCAGGTAAGACACTGGTCTTACAGATGGGGCCATTCTGACCATACCATGACCCACATAGCTCCATCTGATGTGCGTGTGGAGAGGGAGTGTTCTCTGTTGTGGAGCCTGTAATGTGGAACACTCTCCCCAATGAGAACAGGTGAGCAACAACTGTTGGGTGTTTTCACAGTCAACTGAAGCCACAGGCTTGCTTTGACCCTTACTCTGGTGTTTTATTGTGTTTTAAATATTCTGCTGGGAGCCGCCCAGAGTGGCTGGGGAAACCCAGCCAGATGGGAAGGGTATAAATAATAATAATAATAATAATAATTATTATTATTATTATTATTAAATATAAATCAGTGATGATTTTACTCATGTAAATTGTTTTTCTTGGACATTATTAAGTTTTATCGCTATGTGAATCACTTTAGTTTTCCATAATTGAAAAGCAGCGTAGAGAACATTTAATAAGTAGCATTTGAAAATAAAAGGGAGGAGGGAAGGCAACCCACGTGAGCATGGCCTACATAAATATGCACTTCCTGGTCAAGGTCCACGCATGGTGGGGCAAGGGTGCAGGAGCCAGCCCCAAGCCATTTGGAACCAGCCAGCATCTCCTGGTAAAGAATCAGTACTGGTTTCCTCGGTAAAACAACAACCAATATAGATAAACTCTTGTTTTAAAAAGCCAAGCAAAAACACTATGGTTACCGGTGACTGAAGGTGCAGAAAACGAGGGCATCAGGGGCGTCTGTGGTGCTCGTCCCGCATGGCCTTTGGTGATGTCGTGGGTTGATGCCATAGAAAACCCTGATATGGGAGGACCAGTGGGAGGGGCAGAAAGCACAGGGCCAGGAGTTGAACTCAGGGGTGGAGGGGATGAGAACTGGGGACGGGGGCTGCTGAAAGGGGACGAGGCGACTGGCGGTGTCATCATGGGTGGCCTCGAGGTCCCAAGGGAGGCACCCGCTGAAAGTGCCATGGGAGGCACGAAAGGCAAAGGCACCGGGGATGTCGTCATGGATGGAAGAGAGGAGCCTGCAGATGGCAAAGGCGAGGAAAATGGTGCTTGGGAAGGAGGAAAAGAGGAGGGAGGAGGGAGGGAAGGAGTTAAGGCTGAGGGCGAGAGAGAGGAAAAGGAGAAGGCAAGTTTTAGTTGAGGGGCTTTTTAAAACTTTTAGAATGATACAAACAAAAGAACTGCAGCAGAATAATAGAGCGAAAACATCTTATATTTGTAGCAGATTAGCAAATAACTTATATTAAGGAAATAGCCCAACAGGTAAGAAGTCAAAGATTAACCATGTGACACGACACAATGCATAGCCAGCTCTTCCTGTGCAAGCAAAGGTTTATTACTGAGCTGCAAATATTAAGCATTTTCAACCAATGAAGTTATAATTTAGAGATCAAACGGCATATGTTTTAAAATGCAATTGAAGGCAGGTCATTGGATTGAAATGTTAACATGAATTTAAGTGACACTTTAAGCTCAAATGAAAACCCTCCCCAATTAATTAGTGTGGCTGGCAGCAAGCAAAGGCTCCAGACCCTTGAAGTTAAAAGAGCTCCTCCTTTCCTTCTGAAATACCTTTTCTAAGCTCAATCCACTTTTTGAACTAAACTACCACTCTGACTTTGATCTGGCAAGACATGGCATGTAAGATAGCACTCGGCTGAGAGCAGCATCTCATGCGTGCACTTTCCCAAATGCAGATGTATCTTGAATTCTGCTTTCTAGCCATGGGTGGGTGTGTATCAGTGGTTCCATTCCTGTCAATGGTGTATGCTGGGTTCATATGCACATGTGGGCATGCATGTGGGTTCAGACATGCACCTCATAACGCAAGGTGCTTTGATGTCCCAACATCGGCCCATAAACCAGCTATTCCCCCCGTATCCTAAAATGAATGTCTGATACCCCAGCACAATTTCATAAGCAAGAAATGTAATTCTTAGCATCTGCTCAAACTCTTTGTGTCAGCTAAGGAGCTGTTGGGAGGGGCAAATAATAAAGTATAAAGCTGTCTGCCCCCTACACGTGTATTTATATAGTCACAGCTTTCTTGACTTCTTACTGTATTCCTCCCTGGGACCAGCTAGCGAAAGGTGAGTTAGAAATAAGCAACAAATTAAATACTTAAAAAATAGTGTGGAAAAGTTTATTGGGCTGGGTCCAGATTTCTCCTGAGCAGAGTTCCACTCATGGGATGCTCACCTGGAAGTGGAAGGACAGATTACTTCTGCCAGTCTCTTCTTCCCTTGCAGCCCCCTAAAATGCTGCTCTGAATGTTTGCAAGACGCTCCAGAAAAGACTGAAAGGTAGGACTACAAAAGGGGCTAGCAAAAAAACCCTCCACCCCCACGTCCAGCAGGACCCTCCACTGGATCCGAGTTCGTTCCAGAAGAGGAGCCCTTCTTTCGTCAAACAGAAGGAACTGCAACCTTTCCTTTTACTGACTCAGAACTACTAAATTTAAAAGGAAAAACCCCCATGTGAACAAACAAGACAAGTCACTGATGAAACACTTATACCTAATGAGACTGGGGCAGTAGTGGTGGGTACAGGCCCTGCCCCCGCTGTGCTCAGTGGGGGCGTTCCAGGTGGAGTCGTCTCTATCCCGCTCTCTTCCATCATTTTCCTTCAGCAACACAGAGCTGGAAAGAAAGAGAAAATGGATTGAAATGAAACAAACAGCTGCTGCATCGTGTACATCTAGTACTGGCTGCTTAAAACTGCCAATTTACAGGACCAGCAATAGGCCAAACCTCTGTCAGTACTTAAAATATGTCAGCACTCAAAGTCTGACTCAGAGGTGTCTGAACTTCCAGTGTGTTCAGACACACAGAAGAACAACAGCTGGTGCAATTTTTCCAACCTGGTGCCTGATAATTAGGATTTAAAGTGTGGGTGCATGGACAACAATAAAAGTTATAATACACATAGTCGAGAAGCTTCTCAGCAAAATTCTGAAGGGGTTATTCTGAAGATAAGTTTGTGTGACCCTCGAGCCAAGGAGATAAGTAATTATACAACCTTTAGAAGACATCTGAAGGCAGTCCCATATAAGGACGTTGTTTAATGTTTTATTATGTTTTTATGTATGTTGGAAGCCGCCCAGAGTGACTGGGGCAACCCAGTCAGAGGGGTAGACCATTATTATTATTATTATTATTATTATTTAAAGGTAAAGGGACCCCTGACCATTAGGTCCAGTCGTGGCTGACTCTGGGGTTGCAGCGCTCATCTCGCTTTCTCGGCCAAGGGAGCCGGCGTACAGCTTCCAGGTCATGTGGCCAGCATGACTAAGCCGCTTCTGGCGAACCAGAGCAGCACACGGAAACGCCATTTACCTTCCTGCCGGAGCAGTACCTATTTATCTACTTCAACTTTGACGTGCTTTCGAACTGCTAGCTCGGCAGGAGCAGGGACCGAGCAACGGGAACTCACCCCATAGCGGGGATTCGAACCGCCGACCTTCTGATCGGCAAGCCCTAGGCTCTGTGGTTTAACCCACAGCACCACCCGCGTCCCTATTATTATTATTTAGGATGTCCCTATTTTCATCAGAGAAATGTTGGAGGGTATGGTGTTTGGGGGAAGGAGAGAGGAATATTTAGTCCAGGCATCCTTCATCAGCCTAGCCTACCTCACAGAGCTGTTGTGATAACCTGGGGCAAAATTCACCTTCTCTTAGCCTAATTTACCTCACAGGGCTGTTGTGAGGATGGAATTGGGAGGATGGGGTGCCCACCCTGAGCACCCAACCACCCATTTGGGTCAGGTATGAATTCTGGGCCTTCTACTGTCTAGCAACCAACCAACACTGCTGGCGGGGTGGGGTGGGGGGTGAGCCAGCAAGGAAGTGAGAAGCAATCTCCCCCACCCTTCCCACCTTGGCTCCCTTTGTACAAGGGTGGGGAAGTGGAGGCTCCAGGCGTTGAGACTACCAACTCCCATCATCCTCATCATCCGCGACAACTGTCCAAGCTGGAGACGATGGGAGTTGCAATTCAACAGCAGGGTCCGTCTGTCCCCCACGCCACCACCCTCGGTCCTTTGTATACTGCTGAAGGAGGCCGTGGGGGGGTTAAGGTCGCGTTTAAAGAACTACACTTCCCGCCATGCACCGGGGGCCGCTTGCCTTGCGCACGCGCGCACCGGCATCTGTTCTGCCACGTCTTTGCGCCCCGCTCCCTAACTCAGAAGCTCTTTTTCTCCGTTCTACAACCCCCCATCTCTTCCCTCGTCCCGTCGCCCTTGCTCGCGTGGCCGTTACAGGCAACGGCCGCAGCAGCCATATCACTAATAGTAGTAGTAACAGAAGCAAAAACAAAACCCACCTAAGAGTAAAAGCACCTCAGTCCCTCACGCGTACGCTTCCGCCCGCCAGCCCCTTTTTCCTCGCCTCACTGAAGCGGTGGCGGGTAGGGAGGAAAGGGGTCGCCGCCGCGGCCTCCCACAGCCCGCCCGAGGGGGAAGCTCTTCTTCGCTCTCCCGGCTCCGGGGACTCAAAATGGCGGGAGGCGGGACCGGGGAGGCGGCGGCTTCAGCGGCAGCCGCAACAGCAACCACCTCCTCTCTCCTCCTCCTCCTCTTCCTCCTGGGGACCTGCCACGTTCGCTGCGGCAGCGGGGAGGAGCAGCCGCGGGGCGGGAAAGGCTCGCGCCGCCTCCGCTTCTCTCCGCCGCGGCGAACCTCGCTGGAGGCTTGGTTCCCTTCATCGCACCTGCTGGTTTCACGGGGTTTTTTTCAATTAGTTGGTATTATTATTATTATTAGCCAATTTTCCAAATTCAATTATGTCCTTTAATAATTCTAATATACCGAATCTATAGGGGTTTTCCAGGGTTAAGACAGTATCATCCAACAAAAGCTTTTGTTTTATAATTTCGTTTACCCACTTTTCTTCCCCTATTTTTGTCATTTAGTGGTTTAGGGGGGAATGTCATGAGACAGAGACCCAAACTTTGTACCCTGCTCAGTTATAAGAAATATTAAAATCATTGCTTTTGAGTTTGTGGAAGGGGGGGCAGTAAGCCTTATGGTGAGATAGTTTTTAATTACTGGCCTAGCCAGTCTTGCTTAGGGTTGCCCTATTTCAAAAAGTAAAATATTCCTAGTGCGCACAAATTTCTTGAGCTTTTTTTTTTTTTTTTTTTTTTTGAAACCACCAAAATTGTTTTGGGGAAGCCTAACCCAAAAATAGTGCTTTAAAGCTTTTGGAGCTGTTTCCCCTGTTTTTTCCATCGCGTTGCCATACATCTGGGTTTCCCCCAGACTTTTAAGTGATTTCCGCCCAGACACCGTTTCCAACGGCCGATTGCTGGCTATGTCCTGGAAATTCCAGACTTATGGCAACCTTAGACTTGACTTGTCTGCAGAATACAGAAGGGTGTTTCTGGCAGATGGCATAAATCCCTGTTTAAAAAGAACACTACACTAAAATGTGGACTAGAATAAATAGCACTTTATGCACTTAACTGGAGACTAAGGCCCATTTAACTCAGTGAACTTGTTTTTAGTTGATATGTATAGGATGGCACTGTTAAAATCCTTCAAAAGGCCGGCAAAAAGGCTTTAGTGCTGCCTTCTAAATGGGCCTTGAAGCCCCATTTGTTTCGAGTTTGTTTTACTTAACTACGGTGTACTAAAGCTTCCTCCAGCTTGGTGCCCTCCAGATCTTTTGGACTACAGCTTGCATCAACATAGCATGCTGGTTGGGGCAGGAGAAAATTGTAGTCTAAATATCTGAAGCGCACCAGGTTGGGAAAGGCTGGTATATTCATTCACAAGCTTCTCCCAAAAAATCCTAGGAATTGTAGTTTCTTAAGGGTGCTGGGAATTGTAGCTCTGTGAGCAGCAAACGAAAGCTCCTAGGGCACTTTGAAGGAAGTTGTGTGCTTTAAATATACAGTGTGCACACAGCTGCTGTGGTAAATTCCACCGAATGAGTTCAGTGGGACTTACCCCCTGGTAACTGAGTAATGGGATCACATTGTATTTTTTTATTTATGATATTTAATGTATGTTGTTCAATAATGCAAGTTCTGTTACCATTTTACAATAAGTGTTTAAAAGCATTTGCATTGTTCTGCATTATTGAGAGCATAAACATGAAATCTAAAAAAAAAAGAATAAAATGAGCAACAGGAGATAACAGCAAGACTCATGGCAACACCAAAACAGTTTCCAGATCTGCAAGAGTCCCCCAAAATCCAATACAGTGGTACCTCGGTTCTTTAATGTAATCTCTGTTCCAGAAGACTTCAAGTTCCAAAATGTTTGAAAACCGAGGCACAAAGGGCTGTCAGCAAATTCAAATGAGAAAATGGAAAAACACACAGCAGAAGCCATTCGACTTTTGAGGTGCATTCGAAAATGGAAGCATTTACTTCCGGGTTTTCAGTGTTCGGGTTCCAAAACATTCATCAACAGAGACGTTCAGAAACCAAGGTACCGCTGTATTTTATGTAAATCTGGGGGAGAGGGAGCCTAAAATTCTGCAACAGAGGCACCAGCAGAGCCTTCTCTGGAGATCTGTGTTTAACTTCTCAACCTACCTCACAGGGTTGTTGGGATTAAATGAGGGGGAGAACCATATAAGCCACTTAGAGCTCCATAGAGAAAGTGGGATATAAATTCAATAAAATAATCACAATCATAATGTTAGATTGGAGCCCTTGAAGCTGCTTGAGTAAATAAATAAAAAAGACTGACCCCTCTGGACAGCATGGGGGGCAGGAATTGGGGCATGAAGGAAGGACAGGCCAGCACGCAAGTGGGCAGACAGGTAGCTGGCTGTTCATGCAAGCATTCCCAGCATAATCTTGCTTATTCACATGTGCTCTCTGGGATGCTGCTGACTTGCCTGCGCTGTTCTACTGAGTGCTGTAGCTGTGGGGACTGGCCCAAATATGGTCAGTGGATGGGTTGGCTGGTTGCCAGCAGGACTGCAGATACTGACTCCTTACTCAGATGCTAAGCATGCACGCAGACAGCTGGTATCTAATAACCCAAGCAGGATCCCCAGAATGTTGGAAGCAATTGATGCCAGTTAATTGGTTTAGTTTTATTACTCACTTGCTTCATGGGTCCGAATGACTTATTTTTCAAAAAACCAAAGTTAGGCACCAGGTGAAAATGTTTCTCTTCCACCAGGCCTTGGGCTGATCAACATTCTATGGCCTTCTAAATATGGCTTTGAGAACAGGGTTATTGGTTTGTTTTGCTTCCATTTTTGTTTTAGTATGCATTTTGTGTTTTCATGTTATATTTTTATGTTGTGAACCACCCAGTGATCTTCAGATGAATGGCAGTTAACAAATTAAAGAAAAAAGAAAAAAATCAAAAGAAAAAAATGTATTACTATAAAAACCACACACAAAAACCCACAGAATGTGCTTGCACTGCCTGAATATTTTTCAGATGCCCTAAATGTTTCCCACCTCAGAAAAAGACATTTATTGAACTGAGCCAATACACATATTTAGGACATTATAAATTCTATTTTTGTAGGTTATGACTAAAATGTTGTGATGTTCTTTGGTGGTTATATGGTTATCTTGACCTAAGCATTAATAAAAACATTTAAAATATAAAAGATTTATGGGATAGATTTAACTTGGTTTAGGACTACTCACAAGCAATAGATAGGGCATGGTTGGCAAACAGCCTATAAAAGGTGTGGGTAGGGGCCAACAGTTGCCCCACCCTCCTCACATCTCACATCTGGTGGGCCTAAATCAGTGCTTCCCAATCTTCTCCCTCACAGACTGCTTGAAAATTGCTGGGGGTCTTGGCCAACCATGTAAATATTTGCTTGCCTGTTGCAGTTGTGGTGTGCCAGATCTGCATGGTTTTAAACTATTTCCATTGTCTCTTTTTATTTCTTCTAAATCTTATTTTATTGCATTATGTTCAAATGCCATAGAAGCCAAACTCTTACTACAACAAAATGAAATAAAAGCTATTTTAAAATTAATGCATTTACTGTGATGGATGTGCTCTCCCCTCCCTCCCCCGCATCTTCAATCTCACAACTTCAAACATGCCACAGAGCACCTGAATGAGCTAGAGTTCAGGAACCCATGGCCTAAATGGGTTTATGCTACTTAGCCTCCTTCCCATTTTCTATACTTATTAAGAGTTGATTATGGGTTTGATCTCAAGACTTTTTGGTCTGGCTGTTGGACTCTTCCCAGCAAAGGAAGGTAGGGAGGTTTGGGATGGTGATGTGGGAAGAACAATTAGCATTTTTGTTGGTAACGTGTGAATACTCTATCCCACTCCAAAACATGAAATCTAAACAGTACAATTTCTAGAGGGAACCATGCTGGCCAAGGCTCTTCTAAATCATGGGGATATGGAGCTGGAACTATTCAGAGTCCCAAACAGAACATAGGACTGAACAGAACACATGAATCAATTAATTAAAAGGAAAATTTGTTGTATAACACTAGGTGATGCATTTCATCACAAAAATGACAAGACGATTTTAAGAATTTATTCCAATTTTATTTCAAAGCGGTAACACACATTATGTCATAGGCACGTACACACAAGGCACATTTCAAATGTGTGGTGAAAACTAAAGGACAGCCTGAAGCAGATACTTGGACACCAACCCCCAATTTTCATCTGGCCCACTGTAACCAAAGCAACCAAAGACACTAAATTTTCCTCCCACACCAAACAATGCAAAGACATTAACAGGTCTGCATAGCACAGTTGGTTAGAGCATAGTACTAATAATGATAAGGTTGAAAGTTTGACCCCTGTATGGGACAGCTGCATATTCCTGCATGGGGGGTGCGAGTTGGACTAGATGATCCTCAGGGTTGCTTCCAACTCTAGCATTCATTTTGTCTGCTGTAAGGCCACTCATCTTATTTGTCATTTGCAGCAGGAACACCCATGCTGGCCTGTTAGGATAAATGAGTTAGCAGTTACTCTGGAAGCCTATGTTCATGGCTATTCCTCAATAAACTTATGCCACCTTATCCTCTCTGCAAGCTAAACATCCCCAACTCCCATAAAGGTTTGGTTTCAAGATCATCTTGGTCACCCTCCTCTGCACATGTTCCAGCTTGCCAATATTGATCTTAAACTGTGGTATCCAGAACTGGACACAAGACTCCAGGTAGGGTCTGACTAAGGTAGAATAGAATCCCTTGATCTAGACACTACGTTTGTTAATGCAGTCAAGAACTGCATTAGCTTTTTGTTGCTACATCACACTGTTGACTCATGTTAAGCACGTGGTCTATTAAGACACAGATCCTTTTCATGTGTACTCCCTGTCAAGCCAGTTGTATCCCATACTGTATTCCAGCCTAATTATAGAACCCTAAAATTTTGTAATTACTGAAATTATTTCAGTTGAAATTGTTTATGTTAAGTTTTGGTCCTGTTGCTCAATCTGTTATGAATCAGGATTCAGTTTTCTCTTATCTTCTGAGATATTAGCTACCCCTACTTTGGTGTCATCTTCAAATTTGATAGGCATCCCCTATATTGCTTCATCCAAGTCATTTATAAAGATGTTGAACATCAGCCCACAAAAGAACACTGCAGCACCCTACTTGTCATTTTCTTCCAGGATAACAAGGAACCATTTGGTGAGCACACTTTGGGTATGCTCAGTCAACCCAGCTACAAAACCACCTAACAGTAACATTTTCTAGCCCACGTTACCAGTTTCTCCGCAAGAATATTGTGGGGGACTGGTAAACTATTATTCAGGCACTGTTAGAACCAGTGTTTTTTTCTGGGGGTACTCAAGGGTATACTGTACTGGCACCTCCTTTTTCTAGAGAAGTACTGTTTAAAACTGTGGCATATAACAACTTCATGGTGAGTACCGACACTTTTTCTTAAAGAAAAGCACAGGTTAGAACTGCATACCAATCTCTGCATAAATTTCCCATTTAAGGAAACTTTGCTGTTACCTCTACAGAAAACTTGCCACTCCCCCTACCAGATGCTCCCAGTAGCATCTGGAATTCAAATAGACCAGATGCATGTGGAATCTTCTTAAACAGAATCAGTCTTCATCTTACCAGTGGATGGAAAGTTAGGTTGAGAACGGTCCACATGATACAGCCTACCAAGACATTAGGGAAGCAGCTTCACAGCAAAAGCCAAGCTGCATCAGTTGTTAGGTTTCAAATCCTAGTTATCACTGATCAAACCTCAGTAAAATCATACAACATTTAGGCTTTAGAGGATGGAATGCAATTAAGGCAGTGAAGGAAAAGAAAGAGATGAAACATATAGGAGTTGCATTGGAAGCAAGCAAGGACACCGCAGGGACTTGAACCCCATCCTGGAAACCAGGAGTGCCGACCACCAGTGTCTTTTGCTTTTTTTTTTTTTGTAATGCAGCAAGGTGAAAAGCAAAACCTGAGAAAACACAAGATTGTTCTCTCAGGAAAAGAAAAACCTTAAGAGAGATTTGGAGATTTGAAGGAATCTGCTTCATAAAGCTTCCGCTTCTGACTACTCCCTTACTGCGACCTGAAAGAGTCTTAGCACAAGAGTTGCAACACCCTCCCCAATGCCACTCTGTGGATCACAACTGGAAATCTGCCTAGCCAAGCACATGGTACCCACCCATTATGTCTCACGATCACAACACGTACAACCGCTGGTTACTGCTTTTATCATACAGCACTTAGATGTTTACTTGTTCAGAGTCTGTGCCTGTCATATCATCAGTATTTTGCTCTCGGATAACGTCAAGGGTTTCAGTAGTTACCTTCCTTCAACTGCGATGTTAGCTTTGGAGTGAGAGGTTACTGGCCAAACAAGCCGATTGCTAGCTCTGGTTTTGAAATTGGTATTTTAAGGGATTACCTTGAGAACAGAAGTACTGGAGAGGATCCAAGCTTTAGTATGGAGTCAACGCTTTGTGTTGGCTGAGTTATGTGCGCAATAGCTGTTCCTGGAAGATTCTTAGCAGAAAAGCGGGTTGCGGCATAATCCCACCCCCCACAAAACCTCTTAAAGCACTTGTCAAGTCAATGACTTAAAAAACTGAAAGATGGCCACGATTCAGTGTTAGCACCACCATGGCCACAGACACCTTATAGTCTGGTGGCAATTCTGCCAGCCCATTGCAGAGTTATCACAAAGGGCCCCATCCTGCCAATGACACTGGGCAAGCCAGTCTTCTCAGGAGGTTCTTCAATTCTTTGCCATTAGTTCTGCCTCCACTCCAACTAGGCATTACAAGGTGTCTGGAGAGGCTTCGGAGCATGAAGCTCCTCTTTCAGTGGGGATCCCTTTCGGCTGTTAAAGCTTATCGGGTCTCAACCCACCATTGCCTCAAGCATCCGTTAAGGATGGAATTTACATACAGTATTTACTCCCATTGTGATTGGGGTTTCAGCATGAAGCTGAACCTACAGAGGCAGAAGGGGAAGATGCATTAAAAACTTCCCAGTCTCTTAACATTCTGGCTTCATGATTCCTGCTGTGAAAAGAGAGAAAATGTGGTTCACCTGTTCTTTTGTCCATTGAAGTGTGAATTCTTGTGTCTGGCAGTTCCTTCTACTGGTCTGTGAAAAGCAATCTAGAGACACTGGTTTGTCACCAGCCCCCTCCCACTCATCCCATGCAAAAGTGCTTTGACCACAACTGTTTCTTACTGCCATGACTTCTGTGGCTCCTCGAGGAGAGCTGGCTTTATTGGGGTGTTGTGTGCTGTTGCTCAAAACTGTGAGGAAACTGAAAAAGGAGAGACCCACACAAAAGCATTGCACGGAAAATACGACCACTAACTGGTGGAATGTGAAGTTCGCTTCTTGATGGTTTGTTGGGTTGGAAGGGTTTTATTTCTGGTGTCTGTGAGATGTGAAGATGCATCTGGAAGAGACTTAAAGGCTTCAGTACCCTCGCCCCCTCCCCCAGCAGCCAAAGAAGAACAAAACAGCAGGTTACCTAAAGCAGCACAGTCAAAATGCACGTGTCTCTCAGTCATACAACGAGCGTTTACACGGCAGGGTTTTTACTGGACATCGGATTCAAGAGCTCCTTTCAAACCACAGGCATTTTGTCACTCAGCGATTTATTTCTCCTTCAACAATCACTACTCCACACAAGGGAAAGGAGGCAGATTCATATTTTCTACGCAAGCAGATCAAGCACACTGCCATCATTTATTACTTGCCAACTGAACAGATCTGCTTCAGACACGCTTCTCTCTGTGAAGTCTGCAAAAAAGAAGAGCTGGGACAATGTGAGCCCCTCCCACCACCCCCAAGGTGATCAAGTCAGAACAGCTGTTAAGTGTACGAGCGTCAGTCAACTCACTGCAAAGGCCTTCACATGCGCACAGAGAATGTGGCAACAGGAGAGAGTCATCATCCTGAGCAGCTTCACAAATGGTGCGTTAGGGTCTAGGCATTATGAGATGAAGCCTCTGAAACAAGACACTGAAACAGTTGCCCCCATATCACCCCCCTCAGCCCAGCCCTGCATGTTGTTAACTGGAAAGAGATGAGAGCGCTAGCACTACAGGAGATGGATGGCAAGCATATCAAAGGGGCATGCAAGTTTCTACATAGGCAAGGCTAGGCAAGACCGACAAGTGTTAATCTTTGGTTTAAAGTACACAGACGTACACACTTGTACTAATTCTGTCCTCCTCCTCCTGTGTCTGGATTTTTGCCTGGTAAAATTGCCAAGGCTCAAGTTCTGGGAAGAACACAGCTTCTTCAGCTGCAAGATGTGAACTTAGGCATTTACTTACCCCAAACCGCTAAGTTTTTTCCCCCACTGGTCTAGTTTTAAGCATTTTAGAACTCCTCCCTTGGTCAAATCATATTCCTTAGTTACAAGACCTCTGTATGCCAAGTGCCTGGATCTACCATCTGCCTCAGTGGAATGGGGAAAGGAGGAAAAATAGGCTGCAAAGATTTCCTGCCTGATTTAGAGAACCAGTCTTCCGTTCAATTTCTGTGCTTGTCCAATCAAGACGGGGGTGTTCACGGAGAAAGAGTCTGAAAGAACAACAAGAATGCCCCCCTACCCCCACCAAACAACCCGAGAGCGATTCACAAACAACAGCAACATCAACAGCAGCATGGTTTATTTAAGAACAAAGACGACAACTTCCTATTCTTGGAGTACTTTGGTCATTTTATTGCAAGTGTATTAATGTGCCACCTCTAGCAGGTCTTGCACAAGTGCTTTGAATGCTACCATTACTTTGCTCTCTGCTGCATGCTTCTGCGATTGGACTGGCATTGAATACACCCTCTAAAGGGCAGGGATGCGCCACCTATAGTGGTCTGCTCCTATCAAGTGGGCAAGGCGAGGCCCAGACACCCAGGAAATAACAGAAAGCATGATCATCAGATTAGTAGAGCTGTAGCTCCCCCTTTGAGGGCAACTGGGGGCCACAGGCAACCCAGCAAGAAGCGTAGTTAGCAAGCAGCCAGTAGGGCTGATCCAAATGACTCCGGCACCTACCACAACTTGGAAAGATTAAGCCACCCACCTTTCTGACATGCAATTCTGGCAGAATAGGTAAAACTTATCTGTAACAGATGCCTGCTCGCTTATACAGCTCCCCGATGGAACGAAGCACATTTCCTCTCCTTAGGAGTGCCGAGCACCTGTCTGAGGTAAAGAAGGACAACAGCACAAGGCGCCTCCTCTCCTCTCCAACACACGTTTGATCCAACACTAGCGTGGCTTTGCATTATTCTCTCTTCGTTTCCATTTAGATTTAGGAATATTTCAACATCGCATTATTCTCTCTTCCAATTCCATTAAGATTTAGCAATATTGCGTATCAAAGAATGGGCATCACACTTTGGTAGAAAGCTTATTTGCCGCTCCCCTGAAGATTCTCTTTCAATTTTGCTCCCACACTGAAGAAGTGGGATCTCTCTCACTGCTTTAATGCCAACTCCTCCTCCTCCTCCTCATTGCATTGATTTTGGGAATTTCACAGAATATCATCATGGCATTTCACACTCAATCCACACACTTCCAATCTGCCTGCTTCATTGCTTATGACCTTGTGGGTTTTCCCCCCTTGGTTGGCACTGGACTTTCACTTGTTTAACATCTGGGACTTTTTCCATCAATCAAAGGAGTAATAGCATAGGATGGTTCTGCCTTTACTTATCCTCCACCAAGAAGCTGCTCCCTCTGCTTATGAGGCCTTGTATTTCTCAGGCTCCTTGAGGCTAGTATTCTGAAGACGGATCTGAAAAAGGGCTAGACAAGAAATGTTTCCCTACCAAGCCCCCCCACCGCCCGTAGAAGACATAGACACATATCGAACTATGAGCATTAGACAATCTTTTTTTCCGTTTTAATGGTATGACTTAATCATTAATCTGCTTACATGAGCTGTTTAAGTCTTGTCATTGTTAACGTTGAATTGTTTTCAGTATGTTACAGAATTCATTACGCAAGAATGTTCATCAATGCAAATAATTCCTAGACTTGGAACTCATACACAAGACAAAGCAATCAAAAGCAGAATCTTACTTGGAAAAATTATACAAGCTACCATCAGAAGGAATCCCACACCAGGATCATTAAGCTCCTCCTTTCTCCCTGAAGCCTCTACAGTGGCATTAAGACATATTAAGCACCTGCAAAAAATGCCAAAAGAAAACCACAAACCACTAAAGGCATGAAGAGTTCAACCCCACCCCTGCCAACTCTTAGCTAAGCAGGTCTCCCCCGCAAAGACCCTCCATATCTGCAAGTTGTTTTCTTCTCCGGCCCTTTAGAGGGAATGCAAGAGAAGCAGCTCTGTTCATTTTGGACCCAAGGGATTCACAGAGACCTTTCCATGAGTATTGGCCGTTACTTGGAAGGAAAGTCTTTTCTGAATATTTCAAGAAGTACTTGCCAGTCTAGAAGCTTAATAATCTTATTTTTTTTCCAGGCCTAATGTTACGATTATCCTGGGAAAAGAATCCGAAAACAAGTTATCATCCCCCATGCCCTCCCTAAAACCCGCCCCGCCCCCGTCCAACCAGACAGCCCCTTCCACATTACACACTGACGCTGGAGAATTCTCTGCTTTTTAGCCCCCTAAGGAAAACTTAGCTTTCAAGTTCCCAGCTCTTCCGAAAGGAGTGGCTGAACGACCAGGGCTCCAGCACAAACGCCAACTTTAAGCACTGTCCTTTCTTCCTAGGCAAAGAGAGCTCCAGCCTCTGGGGTGGTAACCTTGCCACAATACTGCAGGACTACAGTTCTAAACCAAGCCACCTGGGGACGCTACAGTACCTGCAAAGAGGCTAGAATGAAGCGGGTGTTTATCCCTCTCCCCAGTGCATTCCCCACTCCCCCCATCAAGGCTAGCATGATTGATTGTCAAGAAGGTTGTATACTTAGCACTTTCCAAAGAGAAAACATGCAATTTGACCCGGCAGGATCCTCGACTGGACATTGCTCTAAGCAAAAGCTCCTCTCCAGTGACTGCTGCTCCTTCCCAGGTGCCATGAGGTGGCCACCTCTTTTGCTAAGCGCTGCCATCAGCAGGATGTTCCTCAAAAAGGCTCCTGTTTTCCCCCACACTGGAATCATTCTCAACAGGCTTCCTTCCTTTTTTGCTTTAAGTTAATTATCAAGACTGGAACATTGGGAATCCTCTAGATCTACATTCACAAACACACCTGAAGGGACAAAAACTAAACAAGATTTTGGTGCCTACCCTCCTCCCTCGACCGGAGGCCCGCAACAGGAGTCCAACAGGCTGGTTTCTCTCACCCCTTTTTCTGTGGGTGCTTTTGCTGCTGCTACCTGCAGTGTTCTGTCTGTCCACCAGGTTCTCGACTCGCTCATTCTGGGGAGGGTTGCAGATGCTAGCTAACCATTCTCGGGGCTGGATGGAAAAAACGCTAACCTCAGGAACCGGTGGGACGGAAACGAAGCACGTGCAGACTGCCTGTTAGCTTCTCAGCAATAGCTTCTCGGCAACAGACAACGGGCGCAATTATGCCTGCAAAGAGAGAAACCTACAACACCAACACCCCTGCTCCCCGCACCCCACAAAACAGCCCTTGACAAGGAAAACTAAGAATACAGAGCCTTCCCATTAGGTTACCAACTACCGAGAAGTTCACCGTCTTCACCACATATTTGCTCCTTCATTCTTGATCTAAAGCTAAGTAAGGCTCTTCCCTCAGGAGTTTTCTTGCTTTTTTTCTCAATGCTTTCGGTATCTTTTCTAGCTTCACCAATTTGCACTGGCTGCTGGAACGACTCTTCCTAACTTCAGAATTAGGTGTCAGATGCCAACCCATTTTAAGGCTGGTGTATCAGATGCTTATTTTAGTCCTTGACACCTTATATTTTAAGGAAATCCTTCCCACTGCATCCCTTTGAAAAAGAACATCTTTCACAAAGTCCTTGAGGAGAAGCCGCCACAAAATGGCTGCAAACAATTACAAATCTCTGTCCTTTTCATCTCCTCCTTCCTCTTTGCTATCCTTTTCAGACACAGTTGTTACAGATTTTGCTCCTTTTCCTTCCCTCCCTTTTCTCTCTTCCTGGATCCTCTTCTAAGTTGCCTTCTACCCTTCTATGGCTCCTTCCTCTCTTCCAAGTCTTCCCAGTCTTGGTTTTTCTACCTTCAGCAACAAAAGCCTAACCCTTTCTTCAGATGGAAAGGCCTCTCTCTAGTTGCTTTTTAAAACAAAAGCCTGCCATCTTCTCTTCATTTTGCACTCTGCTTGAAGCAGACTTCAGAGCCATCTACTTTTACATTAAAAACTAGTCCTCAATTAGTTTGAAATGTAAATATAGCTCCCCCTCTATCTTCTTTTATTTCTATCTTCAAATATTTTCTTTTTCTTGATTTTCTTTAAAATCTTCGTCTTTATATTTTTCTTAGTTTTCAGTTAAGTTTTGTTTACCTGCCTTTTCTTCTGGGACTTTTAAAAGCCCATAATCTGCCAACAATTAACCATTTCCCCTGTTTTTTTTTAAGGTTTAGTTCTTCTTCAGTCTTCTGTTTGCTTTCCATTCTCTTTTTAATTAAATTATTGCCTGTCCTAATGATTTTTAGGATCAGATGCCTTATTAACTCCAATCTTTTTAATAAAAAATATAAACTATAGTTAATATTTTAGTAGCATAAAATTCTCATTTTACTATGAAAAATATTAGTTATAGTTTAAAAAGCAACTCATCTATGTTATTATTTTCCTTTTTAAACCCATTTTCTCTTCTCCTCCCAATCACCAGAATAAATCCTATCTGCCTGGCGCTCCCTACACCTCTGACAAGAGAGGGGCGGAGACCTCTATTTATAGCCAGGGACAGTCTCACTCACTTGTGTTGGCTGCTCCTTCCGCTGGCCAACAGTCATAATAAGCACAAAACATAGTTCCTGGCACCATTAAACAGAATGGAAATAACGTGCTCGTTTTAAATGTGTGTTCTCTGCAAAGCTGTGGTGTTAAATTAGCATTTCCTTGCAAAATTAATGCTTTCCAGAAATAATTAATTACACTTCTTACTGCTCCTTTCTTCATCCTTTTGTTAAGGTGGCCTTCCTGTCAGTGCCAGCTCAACCCAGGTGATTCTGTAAATTAAGAAACTAGGGTTGCGCAAGTTGGCCTGTTCCCATGTACATACAGTAATTGTATACTGGAGTGAGAAGCAGTCCCATTGCCTTTCTGCATTCATCCCTAACTTAGCTACAAAATGCCAAACTGACTTCCTCTCTGCAACAAGTTTGCAAGACTATATTAACCTTTTTGAATTAGTTTTCACAACCTAGCTTTGCTGGGTTTTGTCTATCTAGCCTTTGTTTCCTTTGTTTCAAGAGCACAAGCCAGGCTGCATGGCCACCTCCATGTTTCGAGACCCAAAACAACCCTGTGGAGCTGGGCCAAGAGCCAATATCGGTTTTGTGGAGTGGTGATTTGAACCCTGGTCTCCCTGAGTCTTAGACTGGTGCTTACAACCACTGCATCACTAAAGTGCCTAACAAAGATGTAATGAGATTTTATAAATATATATAATAAATGAGTATTAAGATACAGGAAAGGCAGGATGCCCACATATACAGGCCTCCACCAACAGAGATTTTTCCATTGTATGCACAACATATGGAGGGCAGACTTTAAAAGTCTCCTCCTCCTCTTGGCATTTGACGCCTCATGAATCCTAAGTGTGTTTACTCGGCAGTAGGTGCAGCTGCCTTCTATGGGGCAGAGGCCCATGGCAAATAAGGACAACAGAAGAGCCTGTTGGATTGGGCTAAAGGCCGATCTGAACATAAATGTGCATAAAATGGAGAGGCTTTGTTGTGCAGTGGTTAAGAGTGTCAGGGAGACCTGGTTCAAATCTGCATTTAGCCATGAGGAAGTCCATAATGTCAAGTTTTAATCTACCTCACAGGGTTGCTGTGAGGAAAATGGAGAGGGGGAGAAGCATTTTTCTCTTTTTAATGTAAATTTAAAAGTCAGCGTGGTGTGGTGTGGTTATAGAGTGTCATCAGCCAAGTCCTGGGAGACCAGGGTTCATATACATGCTTTGGCCATGAAGCTCTGTGTGTGATCCTTGGCGCCAGTCACTCTCAGCCTCACCTACCTCACAGGGTTGTTGTGAGGATAAAATAGGCTTGGACGTGAGATTATAAAAGTCAAAACAAAGACATAAAAAGGGAAGAACCGCATGCACCTTGCTTTGCTCCTAATAAACGTGCTTAATGCGTGTGGCCACACCAACAGGTTTTATCTCTCAGCTGCTGTTACAGATTTATAGAATGATTTTAAACCTCAGTTCACTAAGAGGAGGGTGTAAAAGGTGGGCTGAGGGCATCAAACCAGGGAAGAGTCGACATGGTTGTTTCGGCTCCATATTGCTGTAATGAGGATTCAGTATCAGTGTCGACGCGGAGCAAGAAAACAAACGAAAAATAACGACGAGCAACGTTATCACGCCCTCAAAATGGCCGCCGTGTTGACATTCAGCTTCGCTGAGGCGAATTCAGAGGAGTGGGGGCGGGGCCGGGACACACGCAGCGCGGAGGGATACCAAACGTGAGGCAACGAGGCGGTGGAAAAACACCGTCCGGCTGTGTCGCAGCAACCTCCGCTCTTACTGTCGATGGGAGGGGGAGATTCGCAGGCCGGCTCGATCTGGCTCAAACCGGTTTCAGGCGGTCTACGTGACGTCTGCTGTGTGCCGCAGTGACTCACTGCGCGTGTGCGAGGCTGAGGCGCCCTTCTTCCCCCTCCCCCTCCCGTCTTCTCCCTTTTTTGGTTTTCCAAACTTGCAAAAGTGACACTGAGATTGGGGGATTTGTTTGTTAAGGAAAGAAAGGGATTATCATTCAGTCAGGAACACTAGTTAGTGGGGTGCATTTCTTATTCGTTTATATCCCACTTCCTCAGCTTTATCCTTTCTCTGCCTAAACTACCTCAGGGTAGTTTTGAACCTGACATCTCCTTCTGGTCCTACAAAATCCCACATCAACGGGAAAATATTCCATCACCCATCCTGTGCAATATACACACTTGACTACCTCAATGAGAAGAACAGAGGCAATGTGAAATAGTGGTTAGAGCGTTGGGCTAGGCTGGGTTCAAAATCTGCACTCAGCTATGAAACTCTGTAGGTGACCAGTCACCTTTCGATCTACAACAACCATGAGAGGTGGTTTTAAGTAAGAAGCAGATGATGGGGATACCACACCTAGCTGGCATATTGAACTCCTTAGACAAAAGGTAGTAACCACATTAATATCCAGGTACATGCAATATGCAGTCACCAAAACAAGTTTTAAGATCAGCACCCAAACACATAAGGAAGAGGGCAGATTCAAAGGGAATCTAGACACACACACACCCCAACTGTCCTGGAAAGTAGCATTGGAAGGCTGAGGTGAATTTTGCTGCAGTGTTTCATAAAACTGAGTGGAGATTTGAATCTGGGCCTCTCCTGTTTCAACACACTAACCATTTCCCTATACTGCCACTCGAGTAAGAAGGATCAAATAAAACATATGAGAGCTGCCTTCCACCAGGTCAAGGTATAGTCCATCTAGCTCAGTGCTCCTCTTGACTGGTATCAGCTCTCCAGGGTTTTAGGCAGAGCTGATCCTTTTAACTGGAAAGGGCCAGGGGTTGAGCCTGGAGCCCTCTGCCTGCAAAGTGGGCTCTGAGGCCTAACTCTGAGGCTTTTTGTATAAAATACTCAATATTTTTTTTACTTGCCTTCATGGAAGGGTTTTCCATTTTTACTGTAAGCTTGTTGGATCATTTTCACTGCATTGCAGCAGCAAATGAAACAAAAGGGCTGTGTCATCTGCCACCTTAGTAGTTTTTTTTAACCTTTAGGCTGGAAGTTCTCTGCTAGGTTTCAAAACCAAAACCAAAACAACTAATATGTTGTGTTCCGGGTTGTTGTTTTTTAACAACTTCTATTATTTTATAAGGAAGGAAACTACAGTTATGCCTTCTGATACCAAACGCACGATTCAGTGCCTGACAGTTTGGAAACAAAAGAGGCCGACACAAAAATGGGCAATGGTTTCTGCATACTCAGCGGAGTTCCTTAATAATTCAGGAGAGTAGTGGTTTGTAATTTTGAATACAAAGAAAATGAGTGTGTGTGAGGGGGTACTCTCAACATGACCCAAAGACTCGTGAACTTGGGCCCAGCCTTTGCTTCTGGTAAGGACAGAAAAGATTGAAACACTTGGATGTGCATCAACTTGTCTTCACGAAGGGACCCTCTCCAGCCCCCTGGCCCACTGTTGTCCTTCCTGATTCAAGTTGTGCCTTATGCCAGTTTCATACCCCAATTGAGCTATAACAATAACACATCTCAAAAGTAACATGTGGGATCTTTAGCTTGAGTCTTTTGAATACAGAGCTGGAGGGACCTGGATTTCACGTTGCAACTCTTCCTAAGACCCAGGATTTCTAACCTAGCAACAATTGCCCTTTGCTATGGATACTTCTGTAACTAAGTAAACTTTACACAGTTACCTATGATATCAGTTGGAGCAAGTATATAAAAAAGGAACAATTATACTGTATTAAAAAGGAACAATATTTTCCTGAATCAAATGTTTGGAAATGATACTAATAAAATAACATAAAAATATGTTAATAAACCTAACCTTAGTTAAGTAACCTTTTATTGATTTATTTCATGGATTTATGAAATTCCTGCCTGAAACCTGGAGAGCCTTTGCCAGGCAGGGTAGACAATACTGATTTAGATGGACCAATGGTCTGACTCAGGACAAGGCAACTTTATTTGTTTCTATGTTTCCAAAATGGTGGCAACTGCAAATGTCTGTAGCGACATTTTTTGTGGAGGGCGGGGAGCATTGTTTCAGGCTGCTCTAACTGAAAACCAAAACCTGACAAGAGTGTTATTGTTGTTTCTGTTCTCTGAGCCAGAATGGGGGTGTTGGTTTTACAAGGCCCAAGCCGAATGGCTGCCTGCCTTCAACAGAGCAGTTGCATCAAGTTATGCAACCTTATTTGGCGCTTCTCTTGGCTCCATCCTGCTTCTTCCTTATTGCAGTCAGCACAAAGCTCCCTTTGGAAGGGCAGGGAGAATGACACGCCTCCCCCCTCCACCACTTTCTTCCTCCAGAGCTCAGTGGAATTTTCCCAGAGCAGAGCTGGGAGGGGGGCGGATGCCACTCTTTTGTTCTCTTTTCGTGTGTTTTTTCCTGACTCACTCCTCTTTGGATTGGATCAGACCCTGTGCATGTTGCCATGCCAACCAGCTGCTGCCAGGATTGGCCAGCACTCTGTTGCAAGGCCAATAAATGTACTTTCCTCCCCTCATTTTATTCTTGGTGATGGTGTGTCATGGTGCTGGCTGCCAGGGGGATCTGCGCATAGCAGGAAGTTATGCAACTTCTTGCCTTTTTTCACTTCTAGAAAGGCCTCTTCATGCAGAGTTTCCAGGTGGGGAGCCGAGCTCGTCTCTTTCACCAAAGGAGCTTTGTGACGCCTTTGTGATGGCACATGGTTAGTCTGCAAAAGCTGATGCCGCAAGCAGTTTGCCCATCCTGAATGTGCCACATGCTGGCTTTTATAAACATACATGGGTATTGCCTCAATTCATGGATGCCACATGTTTGCAAATGGGAGGGAAACTCTTGTGGGCATGCACACCACAAACACGCACATGCTTGCAGCACAACCACACAAACATGCACTCAGGGAAGATTCTGGAGCAGATCATTAAGCAAACAGTCTGTGAGCACCTAGAAAGGAATGCCGTGATCACCAATAGTCAGCATGGATTTCTGAAAAATAAGTCATGTCAGACTAACCTGATCTCGTTTTTTGACAGAATTACAAGCCTGGTAGATGAAGGGAATGCAGTGGATGTAGCCTACCTTGATTTCAGCAAGGCATTTGACAAGGTGCCCCATGATATTCTTGTAAAGAAGCTGGTAAAATGCGGTCTTGACTATGCTACCACTCAGTGGATTTGTAACTGGCTGACTGACCGAACCCAAAGGGTGCTCATCAATGGTTCCTCTTCATCCTGGAGAAGAGTGACTAGTGGGGTGCCACAGGGTTCTGTCTTGGGCCCGGTCTTATTCAACATCTTTATCAACGACTTGGATGATGGACTCAAGGGCATCCTGATCAAATTTGCAGATGACACCAAACTGGGAGGGGTGGCTAACACCCCAGAGGACAGGATCACACTTCAAAACGACCTTGACAGATTAGAGAACTGGGCCAAAACAAACAAGATGAATTTTAACAGGGAGAAATGTAAAGTATTGCACTTGGGCAAAAAAAATGAGAGGCACAAATACAAGATGGGTGACACCTGGCTTGAGAGCAGTACATGTGAAAAGGATCTAGGAGTCTTGGTTGACCACAAACTTGACATAAGCCAACAGTGTGATGTGGCAGCTAAAAAAGCCAATGCAATTCTGGGCTGCATCAATAGGAGTATAGCATCTAGATCAAGGGAAGTAATAGTGCCACTGTATTCTGCTCTGGTCAGACCTCACCTGGAGTACTGTGTCCAGTTCTGGGCACCACAGTTCAAGAAGGACACTGACAAACTGGAACGTGTCCAGAGGAGGGCAACCAAAATGGTCAAAGGCCTGGAAACGATGCCTTATGAGGAACGGCTAAGGGAGCTGGGCATGTTTAGCCTGGAGAAGAGGAGGTTAAGGGGTGATATGATAGCCATGTTCAAATATATAAAAGGATGTCACATAGAGGAGGGAGAAAGGTTGTTTTCTGCTGCTCCAGAGAAGCGGACACGGAGCAATGGATCCAAACTACAAGAAAGAAGATTCCACCTAAACATTAGGAAGAACTTCCTGACAGTAAGAGCTGTTCGACAGTGGAATTTGCTGCCAAGGAGTGTGGTGGAGTCTCCTTCTTTGGAGGTCTTTAAGCAGAGGCTTGACAACCATATATCAGGAGTGCTCTGATGGTGCTTCCTGCTTGGCAGGGGGTTGGACTCGATGGCCCTTGTGGTCTCTTCCAACTCTATGATTCTACGATTCATTGTCCTGTCCCCCGACCAGCAATAAGACTTGGAAAAAAAGGTTTTTGCTTATCAAAGCTTTGACCCGGCTGCAAATTGCCCTTTCACTGCAATCTTATTGCAGCACTGGAACTCCACCCCACCTCCACAAAAATTGCCACCTGCACTGCAAGTAAGTCTGGCCATCTTTCAAAGCTAATTTCGTCAAAGCTCCAGGACCCTTTGAGTATCAGATAAGACCTTTGTAATCCCATGTGCATCCATGAGCTGCAGAAATAGTCCTCTCCCTTCTGGCTGTACGTGTTGCAAAGGGACTGGAGGCATGTTCAAAATTCTTTGTGGCATGGCAAACCACCATCCTGGTTGGGGGCAATGACAGCCTTGGAAAAGAGAGAAAAACAGCAGCAATAACCCACTCTCTAGCCCCTCAACTTGCCGTAATCTCCCACTAACAAATGCAAAAAAAATAAAAAAATAATAAAAAAAAAATTTTGAAGAGATTGATAGCAAACGGGCCGAGGAGAAATAACCAAGGACAACATAAAGGAAGAAAAATAAAACAAAACCCTTTTCTACCACGCAGACTATGGAGGCAGGGCTCAAAATGCAGGCATACTTTTCAGTAATGCTGCCTACACAGGCTGTTTGCAAAGGGACTAAGGAGGGTGACATCTAGTGGTTGGATTGCATTGCTGTTTCAAGAAGGCAGCAGCCCAAGGCTGAGGGACTGTGGTTGTCAACAGGCGTCACAAAGAGGTCAGTGCAAGAGGAGGAGGAACAGGACACTTCTCAATCTCATGCCAAAGGAGGAAGAGGAAGGCACTTCCAGCAGCGAAGTGCTTGAAAGATGAGTCACTGTGCTTAAAATGGTTCCTCCTCTTCCTCGGGAGGTAAACTTGCTCTTGCGACAGTGAGTCAGATGCCTGCCCAGGGACAGGAAGAGAGCCTGTTTTGTTAGATGACACAGGCAATCCAAGTTTACCAACAGATCTTTACTTTGAGGAGGTAGAATATTCATATTTTCAATCTTGCAGATAGCCATGTTTAAGGCAGTGGTGGCCAGCCTTTTGGGGATTCAAGGCCACACTCCCTTTGTAGAAAGAGGCAGAGGGTGCTGATGGGTGGGGGGCAAAGCAAAAAGCGAGTGAGACACCCCTTTTCTCTCTCTCCCGCCCCTTCATCCATCACCCCTTCATCCAGCATCCTTTCATATTATCTCTCTCATGCAGACATGCCCATTCACACAAACACCCATCCTCTCTCCCCTACTATTGATTTATTTCCCCTTTCCCTCTCTGGGCCAAGTGAAAGAAGGCAGCTGGCCAAATGGGATGCTCCAGGCTGTGGTTGAAGGGGTACTTTTGTTCAATTAATTACATTTATAATCCCACCTTCCCTCCATAAAGCTGAAGGTGGCATACATAGCGCTCCTCCCTCACAAAAACCTTGTGAGGTAGGTTAGACTCAGAGACTGTGCCTGAGACAAGGTCACCCAGGGAACTTCATGGCTGAGGAGGGATTTGAACCCTAGTCGCATGGGTCCTAATCCAGCACTCTTAACCACTACGCCACACTGATCACTTCCAGAGTAGCTGTGAGCCTTGTAATCTCAGCATCAATTTATGCAACAATTATTATCACTATGAATTCCACCTTAATCCTGATCTTGCTCCCAGGGAGTTCAAGGCAGTGTACATGGTTCTATGAGCAGAGCTACAATTCCCAGAGTTCCCTGGGAAGGAGGATTGAATGTTAAAACACTCTGGGGATTGTAGATCTGTGAGCGAATTAGGGGGCTCCTAACAACTCTCAGCACCCTGAACAAACTGCACTACCCAGGATTATTTGGGAGGGGGGGAGCATGCTTTTTAAAAAGTGGTATGATACTGCTTTAAACATATAGTGTGGACTAGCTTGGCCCACCAAGCCCTACCCTGTTGGCACACCCCATAGTGGGGATATTTTTATCCCAATTTCTGGATTACAAATTGCATTTGTATATACACTTCTAGAATACTGTAGTGGCTTTTACTGTTAAGTTTTATGGAAAGTGATTCATACAAGAAATTAAGAGAAGAGAAAAGGCTCGGAGTAAGTATTGGGAGCAAGAGCCACTGCTGAGTTTTTCTTTCATTAAAATCAAACTAAATGGCCATAAAACTAAATGTGTCTATCTTCATATAAATTTGCCAATGCTTATTTGAGCCATGGGCCTGTGCTTGCAGGAAATGCCTCCTGGGGCGGGTATGGGGGAGAGGAACAGCTTGGGATCTGACATCTGCTTCCTCTCCCCATAAGCCAGGAGGACACATGTGGAGAGGTGAGGCTCTGGCCCATCATTAGCAGAGAGGCAAAGTGTCCAAACGAGGCACTTCCCACTGAGACATCCTTGTGAGAATGTCGTCAGGGAGGTAATGGAGGGCTGTCCGCTCTTGTCATCCTGATGATTCAGCACAGCAGTGTCTGCAGGAAGACAGAAGCAGAGCATCATCCCTCCCCACACAAAGACTATTTGCTGCAGCCAAGTGAGCTAATAGCAGCCAACGACACCAACCTCAGAAGACAAGCAGGAAGAAAACCAGGTTGTGAGGAGATGCAAAGCTTACAAAATAAAGCACAATGCAACTTGCGATTTAGCTCTTTCCTCTTGTGTGCTTGTTTTAGCTAGCTATCTAGCTAGACAGGAATATAACCAAAACAAAACATGTTTGTATGTAACAAATGAACGTAAGTGTATTTAACAGACAAAAGCAGGTGTTTGCATTTTGCCAATTAATGTCTCTTCAAGCATTTCAGTGTCTTTAATGAGATGTAGAGTTGGAGGGTATCTTTAGGCAAGCAAATCTCTCTATAAGTTCCAATGCGTTTGGGTGGCTTTCTCATCCAGTCTTCACGGCACATAAAGGAAATGAATAGATGCCAAAAACATATAAAAAGATGGTGGATTATTGTTTCTGGCCACTTTTACTTGGCAGGTTAGTTTTTCAGCTAAGCCACTGACCACACTTCAACATACCAGGAGTTGATTGACAATCTTGTGGCTGTTTACCAGTGCCTGGAATTTTCCATCCGTGTTGCCACTAACAATAACAAAACCAGTTACCGGTATTTATGACATATCTGGCTATTCACTCCTCAATAATGCTAATGAAAGGGATTACTCAATTGTTATATTACATATTTTTCCTATTTCCTTGAAAGGTGTTCTTGTTTCTTAAAGGTATGAAAGCATTGGCTTATGGAGGAAGAAAAGGGGCAGGCAGTTTTCCAACCAAAGGGGCTTAACTCTTTGCACCACCAACTCCTCCATGCAAACTGGCAACCTCCTCTTACAAACTTGAGCAGAGGAGACCAGTGCCAGGAGCATGCACAGTGTACCTGCCTCACCAGTGAAGAACCTCTGTATTTGATAAGGTGCTATTTAATAAGGTGTTCTCTGGCCAGTGAAACATGTTTGTGAGTGTGGGTAGCTGCCGACTGAGTCCCTAATTCCTAGAATGGCAGGAATCGAAACCAAGAAGGAAGTTCCTACATTCTTCCCTTTCACCCACTTTCTCTTCCCCCTGAAGGGCTCCTGTGCTTTTAATAGGAGGAAGTTGCACGGGTGCAGCCTTCAACATTTCTTAATCCCCATGCTAGGAAAAGCTTCACCTGCTGACTTTATGGCTGTCACACAGCTGCCAAGAGCAATGATAGATGATGACGTGGTAAATGAGAAATAGTCTCTGCAATGCTAAGAGCTCCCATTGCAGATCAACAGAAGTCTGACAGTAATTTGTAGAAGGGCCCAGTAAGATGTGGAAGGGAATATTTCGGTATTTTTTCCACACAAACGGTGTATATTGTACACCCTGAACCTTCGTAAGGGCAGAGCTATTACACAATTGGCACAATTCTCTCCCACGGCATTTGGGTGAAGTCAGACATAGCATGAAACAATCTGCTATTTTAATAGCTTGCAAGTAGCTCCTGGTCCAGTCATTTTATTATTATCGGAAGCAGCGTTATTGCAAGACCTTTGAAGGTTGACCTTTCAGACACAAGTAGTACTTTTGCCAAGGGGAAAGGCTGTGGCTCAGTGGGAGAGCATTGGCTTTGCATGCAGAAGGCCTCAAGTTCAATCCCTGGCATCTGCAGGTAGGACTGGAAGAGAACCCTGTCTGAAATCCTGGAGAGCTGCTGCCGGACAGTGTAGGTAATACTTAGCTAGATGAACCAATGGTCTAACTTCTTGTGATCGTATTGGTGAAAACCACAGCACTGCCCACTCACTCCCAATCCATGGCTTATGCGAAACGATTCTGCCAACTCTTCTTTTCTCACCCGCCTCCTGGGCCATTTCCTTCTCTATAGCTCAATGAATCTCAGACACCCAAATAGAACAAGAAGATTCTGAGACATACAGGGATGTCACAAGTGCATTTATGATTCATGAAGCAGGCCATGGGCTAAATATACCCCACACAGTTTATTTATGTCTTGAAAGCATTTATTAGCCAGCTGTCAGCAAAAGATTTCAAGGTGGTGTACAAAGGTGTTAACAAAATAACTTGCAGCATAAAAATAGAACGTGAAAACCAACAAGCAAGAATATGGTGAATTAAAGAGTCAGGCTATAAACATGTCTGGGCAGATAGGAAGGTGCTTCTTTGGGGTGAGGCAAAGCTGGGGTGCCACCACAGGAAATGCCTATTCATTAAGCATACTTCTGCTAAAGAGGGTATTTGGAGAAGGGACTCTATAGAACATCTAAAAAGACACAGGCAAGCTGATATTGGGAATAGGGCCCCCTCTCAGGTATTTGGGTCCCAAGCCTTTCAAAGTAAGCACCAGCATTTTAAGTTGTTTTCGGAAAGCTATCCAAGCCTACTGGAGTCGTTAAATATAACAGCAACCCATTTGAGACCAGAGCTGTTTTTTAAAATTGGGAGATTCTCACTTGCCACTGCAGTAACTGCCCTCAATTTATTGACAGTGATCTGTGGGGTTACATCTTAGCAGTCTGAAAAATATATTTTATGTTTGATGACACAGTGCTATATGAAATCCCCACACTGCTTTAAGAAGTAGCTCCCACAACCATCCGGATTATAACCAACATTCAAATATACCTTGAGCACCACTATGTTTGATTCACTTTAAAAAGTCCCCTAAAATCAGGAATGAAAAAAACTTAATTCAGTCAATGTTCCACTTTTAATTTTATCGTAGAAATAAATCAAGGTTGAGAAAAATGTTCTTTTTAAAAAGAAGACAGAATATTTATATACAGTATAAATAACAATATTAGATAACAAGTATATTTTTGCTGTGGTAAAGATTTTCACTTGGAATGGTTAATGCCATAAAATATACTCTATGGTGCAGGTGCCACCATTTATTGGCTGATCAGGGCAGTGTACTAGGCTCCTCCCTTTTCTCCTCACAACAATCCTGTGAGGTAGGTTGAGGGGCAGAGAGAGAGAGACTGGTCCAGCATCACCCAAAGAGCTGCAATTGTTGGGCTGTGGGTTTGAGCTCACAGCAACCCTGTGAGGCAGGCTAGGCTAAGAGCGTTTGGTCCAAAGTTCTCATAAGAATGTAAGCACATGAGAAAAGCCTGCTGGACCAGACCAAAGGCCCACCTAGTCCAACATCCTCTTTTCAGGGTGGCCAACCAGGTGCCTCTTCTGGGAAACCCGCAAGCAGAATTCCAGCACAAGATCCCTCCCCCCCCCTGCAGTTTCCAGCGGCTGGTATTCAGAAGCATCACTGCCACCAACCGTGGAGGCAGAACTGCAGGGCTGAGTGGAGATTTGAGCCTGTTCCTCCCTCTAAAATCGCTGCATCGCTCATTTCTCCAGAATGTGTCCTGTACACACTGCAGCCTTTATGAGAATTCTTGCCAAACATAATGCAGTTGTCATTTGTCCATCACGTCTCTCCTGCTAACCAACACACAGACACACCCTTGCCTCTGTGCAAGGTCAGCATCTAAGCTCTGCATTGCAAACACAGCGGGGTGTGGCGAGGGGGCTGAGCAAAGGCCAGCCTGAGATTTTCCACCGCCTCTTCCCAAGCAGCAGACCAGCAGGGCAAACAACACCCAAAGCCAGTAATGAACTCATGCGCTGACTAGGAATTCTTTCAAAGGTGCTGAAGTGTATCTAATAATAACAAAAACAGATTTATTAGATGGGGTGAACTAATCAGAGCTCTTTCCCCCTAATTTTATACCCCCCCATCATTTTATACCTATCATATTACCCTAGGGGTCATCTAGTTCAACTCCCTGCAATGCAGGAATCTCAACTAACACATCCATGACTATCCAACCTACTTGCAATGTCTTTTCTTATGATTTATTGGAAACGAAACCAATACTTGTGACTGTTTTATTTGGAAAAACCAATAAAATATGTTTAACGGAATAATAATCGTAGTTAATAATAATGCTGCTGCTGAGGATATTAGTGGTTAGGATGCCAGACTAAGAGCTAGAAGAGATTAAGTTTCAAATCCTCAACTCAGCTATGAAGCTCACTTGGGCCAGTCTAACCTACATCGCAGGGTTATAGTTGCAGGAATTAAATGAGGAGGGAGAGCAATGTGTGCCACCTTGAGCTCCTTGGGAGAGAGGAACGTGGGAGATAACTGTAAGAGTAAGAAACTGTGGTGGAGCAGAAGAGAACGAATAAAAGTATTCATTCTAATCCCTTCACCCTCATCAGGGATGCCAACGCTCAAATGCACACACACAAGACAGACACTTGCGCCTCGCCCCCTGTTCAGTTGTCCCCCACTTCCTCTGGCCTCAGCATTAGGAAAACGGTTACGAAAATGAAATACAAGGAGCTTACTAGGTTTAAAGTAGGCCGGGCACTAAATGCTTAAATATAAACCTTTGCTCGAATGCCAGGCAGATGACGTGAGCCCCATGTAGGGCAGGAGAGGAGAAGGCAAGAAAAATGTGGGGACCCTGAGAATAGCCTGGGCTGGAGAGTTATTTTAGAGGGCGTACAACTTCTAGGAAGAACATGGAGGACAGGAATGTGCAGCTGTTGGGAATGCGGAGCAGTGGCGGCCCCTGGCGGGGCTGGAACATGAGCAGTAAATTATACAAATAGCATTCCTGGCCAAGCGTTTGGGAGCATGCTGAGCACGCCCAGTAGGAGCAACTGAAGCCTTTTTCTGCCCTCTTGCAGCAGTTTCCCTCCCCTCCCCACCCCATAGAGAGAAAAAGGCCAGAGCATCTTTTATTGTGATATGTTTGAGGCAAGCACTGCAACACTGCAGTTTTAGCAGGAACAGAGCATGCTCAGTATCCCCTGATACTTTGGACATGCTCAGAATAATAAAAAAGTGATGTTTTAAAACAATGCAACGCATACTCAGATCCACCATCTTTATTGCAACAAACAAATGATCCTTTATACAAAGTTAGTGAGTTAACACACACTGAAAATAAAGATTAGTGTAAAACACGTTGCATAGTATTTCTTTGGAAGTTAAAAAAAAGGCACTTTCCCCCAACTTTGTGTGCAAGATGAGGTTTCTCCTACCGTGCTTTCTGTGGCTAGGTCAATGCCCAGGTCCCTACGAGCAAGTTACAAAGAGCAGCGGTGGCCTTAGAGGCACAGCATGGAGAGAGATGCTGGCAGAGGGGGGAGCAATCACAGGACAGGACCCCGCTGCAAAGACATCCCTCATGGATGCTCTGCAGGCTTAGGGAGAAGGAAAATGGTGAGGAGATCTGTGCAACACCAGCTCCCATCAGCACTGACCACTGGCTCAACATCTGCAGGGCCACAAGTTTCCCAGTCCCTGAACTGGCAAAGCTAGGGCTTTTCTAGATGTAATGACATCCACCCTCCGCCAACCACAAAAACGTTCTTTGGGTTCAAAGTTGCTTGAAACAGTTCAACATAGTTTTTTTCTCCCAAGTGCAGAAGTGAATGTACAACCTCAAATGGGGTACATATGTTTAAAGTTAATAGATGCACTAAACACCACTCATTTCTTGCCCAATTCTGGGAGGCTTCCAGAAGTATCGATGGGGTATGTGTACACACATCATGATCCAGCTGTGCCCTATCTGCAAACGCAACTGTGCCTTTCTAAACACCCAAATATAAAATGGAAAGATGGCACATTTCTCCCCTAGAGTTCACATCTCTCAGAGCACACCTTTGTTTTGAATATTCCCAGCCTGCTAAGGTAAAATGCTTAATAACATTCCCCGTTACAATTCTGGAGTGAAATTAAATTTTCTGCAAAAGGCAAAAAGAAATAAAATGTGTGGAGCCTTCGTGTTGCATAAATCCTTCCTTGCTGCAGTACCAACATATGTTCAGGCTACTTCAAGGGAATTGGAACCTATTTTTTGGGGGTGGGGCATTTATGATGAATGAAGAAGTTGTTCAGATGTGCAGACAAAAAACCCCTTCAGAATGCCAACATTGGGGGCTGTAGCTGGGTGTGGGGAGGTGCAGCTAGGACAAAGCTCATCCACCAGAGCTGCATCTCAGGCAGACAAACTGTTCTGCAAATAAACATGCTCTGACTTGCATCTGAAACGGTGTCTCCCAGCCCTGCTTCCTTCAAATGTTTTCCCCCTATAGCTCCCCAGTCACCAGGCTCTCTGTAAGGAACAGGAGAAATGTAGTGGGGCTTGAAGTAAATGAATGAAACAAGTATCTTGTCTGCAAAAAAAAGAGTATTTCTGAAGATGCAACTGCTGGAATAAGAGGCAGATCAAGGCAAGCAGACATCTGATGCAAGATTAGAGCTCAGCTTTCCCTCTGACAGTGGTCCCCAATGTTCTTCGCCCTGCCTTGCCCTGAACCTCATATGCTCAGCAGAACCAAATTTGGAGAGAAAGCAGACCAGGAGGCAGGACTCAGCCACCAAAGGACAAACAACTGCCTGGATCCTCTGCTGCACACTGACAACAAACTCAGAAATGGGGAGAAAAGTTACTTGAGATGTATTGGCGTGTGTGTAGGATTCTGGAGGGGGGAGGATTTGGCTCCAATACCAGAAGGTGGTTAGAATGCCGACAGCTCAGCTGCCCCCCAAGTCGATTGGTCCCAATAATGCCACCTGCTGAAGGCAGTCAGCCCTGCTCCAGGTTCTCTGCCCCCCGGACAGCCGAGTAGGAGGTGGGGGCGTTGGATAACTGGCGGCCAAAGAATGAGGTAGTCCGGCGGGGTTTCACTCTCTTGATTTCTTTCCCTGGGGAGAGAAGCAGAAACTGTACAGTCCAGGGCCAGCAGTGCAGAGATAACAATGGTTCCTACCCCAAGAGGAGCCTTGTGGAGGGGTGGGGTGGGGGGTGGGATCGTTAAAAATATTTATGTCCCTTTAGTCCAGCATCACGTTTTCCTCAAGCAGAGCAGTGAGGTGACAACCCTCTTCAGTGTTCCTTATCCCAAGGACTCAGCAATCCAAGGTAGACTGTCCCTGTGCTTGGAGGCTCTGTTTTTCTGGTACGTGGCCAATCAGGGGTTTAATCTGACAATTGAATAGATCGGGATGGGAAACTGGTACACCTAGCCCAGCACCCTGACCCTGGGAAGCCCAAGAAGCAGGACATGAGTCCAACAGGCCCCCCTCTCCTGCTCTTTGCAATTCCAAGCCACTGGCACCTAGGGGCAGGGCGGGGGGGGGGTGGCTTCTGGTCCTGGAGGCTGTCTACAGCTCCATAAATCTGCCTCATCCCTGTTTAAAGCCATCCAAGTTGGTGGGCCGTCGCTGCTTCTTGTGGGAGTGAGTTCCATAGTTTAACAAGGCACTTTGGTTTTTATTTTATTTATTTCCATGCCATATTGCGTTACAAACTATGAACTTTGTGTAGAAGTGCTGGGTCCCTGGGTACAGGCAAAGTCTCCTACCCCTCCCTCACTTTTCACAGTACTCTAATAGAATGAGAAAGAAGAAAAACCCTCTCTAGTCACCTCTTCCATATCATGCATGGTTTTAAACACCTCTTATCATGTTCCCACCTGACTTTTTTTCTAAGCTAAAGAGCCCCAAGCGCTGTCCACCTGAGCCCCTGTAGTGTAGTGCCTAGTCTGTCAAACTAGGACCTGGGAGTCCAGAGCTCAAATCTCCACTTGGGTGTCCCTGCCTCTCTCCGTTTAGTCTACCTTACTGGGTTGTGGTGGGGATTAGATGAGGAGGGGAGAACCCTCTGCGCCACCTTGAGCTTCTTGCAGAATAAGGTGGGCTATAAATGGGAAAGATGGAGGGCACAAGGTGAAGGGGACGACAGAGGACGAGATGGCTGGACAGTGTTCTTGAAGCTATGAACATGAGTTTGACCAAGTTGCGGGAGGCCATGAAAGATAGGAGTGCCTGGCATGCTCTGGTCCATGGGGTCACCAAGAGTCGGACACGACTAAACGACTAAACAACAACAATAAATGCAACAAAAGAAAATTGCAACGGCAGCTGCTCCAGCTGTTCGATCAATTTTGTCGCTCCTTTCCCCCTCAGTTCTTTGTGACGAGGCAACTGGAACTCCACACAGAGCTCCAAAAGGGACACAACAGAGGCTTGTGTGTAAGCATTGTGATATTTGCCAGTTTCGTTTTTCCGATCCTTTGCATAACGCTATTGTTGGGCTCCAACTCCCAGCACCCCCAGTCAGCGGGGCAATCGGTGAGGGATGCTGGAAGCTGTGGTTCTGCAACATCTGCCCCCTGAGATATATTTGTGAGACGCCTGGGGAGGGGGATTTTTGGGGGAGTCAAAAGACAGCATCAAAATAACGTAGTATAGTTGTACCTTGGAAGTCAAATGGAATCCATTCTGGAAGTCTGTTTGACTTCCAAAATGTTCGAAAACCAATTGTGGCTTCTGATTGGCTGCAGGAAGCTCCTGCAGCCAATCAGAAGCCACGGAAGCCCTGTTGGACATTCGGGTTCCAAAAGAACGTTTGCAAACAGGAACAATCACTTCTAGGTTTGCGGCGTTCGGGAGTCAAAATGTCTGAGTTCCAGGGCGTTTGATAACCAAGGTACGTCTGTACCTGGAAGGCCACAGGCTCTCTCTGCGCCTGTTTCCCACAGTGGTCAACCGCAATCTACCTCTGGGAAGCCAAAAGACCCCACAAAAAATAACTTAACATCCCCCCACCCCTAGCACAGGCTACATTGTCTCCCACCCTTTCAACCACACAACCTTCCGCATCTGGCACCCACCCCGGCTCCCCGCTTTTGCCAACTTACCATCCTCAACATAGTCTATGGTCGAAAGATGCTGGATCCGGCTGCAGAGGACGCTGTTCTGCCGCTGGAGCTTGGGGTGCCGCCTGTCAGTTGCGGGGCTCTGGGACGCAGAGGAGGAGGACGCAGCGCTGGGGTCCAGAGCTCCCCCCTCGGCAGCCGTGTTTAGCTCAATGCAATACTCTATCAGGCCGCTCATAAGTTCAGCCTGGAGGGAAAGAAGGAGCAGCAGCTAACTGCAGTGGTTAAGAGTGCCGGGCTAAGGCCTGGGAGACCTGAGTTCAAATCCCCACTTGGTCATTATTGTTAGCATTGAATTATATAGTGCCATCAATGTGCATGGCTCTGCACACAATTAAAACAAGAAGTCCTACCCGCAAAGCTCACATGAAGCTCACTGGATGACTTTGGGCCAGTCACTATTTGAAGTTCGTAATATTACATATATTTATTTCCTCTTGGCTTGCTCTTCCTCGCAGGGTTGTTGTGAGGAGGACAAGCTGGGGGATATGCCACCTTGAACTCCTTGGAGGAAAGGCAGAATAAAAAGTAAAAAACGTAAAGGTAAAGGGACCCCTGACCATTAGGTCCAGTTGTGACCGATTCTGGGGTTGCGGCGCTCATCTCACTTTATTGGCCGAGGGAGCCGGCGTACAGCTTCCGGGTCATGTGGTCAGCATGACTAAGCCGCTTCTGGCGAACTAGAGCAGCACATGGAAACGCTGTTTACCTTCCCGCCAGAGTGGTACCTATTTATCTACTTGCACTTTGATGTGCTTTCAAACTGCTAGGTTGGCAGCAGCAGGGACTGAGCAACGGGAGTTCACGGGGATTCGAACCGCCGACCTTCTGATCGGCAAGTCCTAGGCTCTGTGGTTTAACCCACAGCACCACCCAATGCATTTAAAAACACAGCTGATTTTCTTATGACAATCTTGGGGCACCTTATATTCTTACAAGCTGGGCCCCAAGACGAGGCATCTCTTAGGCCGGAAGAGATGGGCTGAGTTCTCCATGCAAAGTGAGAATTGTTTCTGTGGCCAGATATTTTGTGGAGCATCACTGCCGGACAGCCAGCACGTCATTTATTTTGTTTTGTGTTAAATGCTACGAAGATTTTAAAAAGTGTTGCTCTTCCAAATAAGGGTTTGGTGCTTGCCAGTTATTCATGCACACATGAGCACAGCAATGCTTCTGAATACCAGCTGCTGGGAAGCACAGGAGGGGAGAGGGCTTGTGTTCGAATCCTGCTTGCAGGTATCCCAGAAGAGGCATCTGATTGGCCACTGTGAGAAGAGGATGTGAGCCACTGGCCTGGTCCTGCAGGCCCTTCTTAGGTTCTTACCTGCTTGGAGTAGACCTTCAGGAGTTTGTTGACGGGCGTGCCCTCGTTCTCCCCATCAAACTCCAGCCAAAGGATGTGCTCTTCCTCGTTGGGGAAAGTGTGGTCCCAGGACAGCTCCTGGAAGGCCAGGCCAAGCAAGATGTGCTGCCGGGAAACAGGGGGTGGGTGAACAGAAAAGACGGTTAGTGTGCAAGGGGTGCAAGAATGTGTGTGTGTGTCCCTGTGGAACACCCTCCCTTCAGATGTCAAGTAGATAAAGAACTACACAACTTTTAGAAGACATCTGAAGGCCGCCCCGTATTGGGAGGTTTTTTTAATGCATGATGTTTTCATTATCTTTTTAGACATGCTATAAGGCACCCAGAGTGCTTGGGGACACCCAGCCAGATGGGTGGGGTATAAATAATAAAATTAGTATTATTATTCGCTCATAAGCACACACTGCTCCAAGACTGGGCCCCTGGACTCTTTCAGAACTTGAAAAGGGCCCCCCAACATACCTCGTATTGAAAAGGTATTTCTTTAAACTGAAAGTATCTAAAGTATTTTATTTTCTTATACAAATACTGAGGCACCTCACATCTGCTCAGTGATACCAGCATATGCAAACATCTGGTACCTTTAAGATTATGCAGAACCTTTTTTTTCAATGATGATGGAACTCACAGGATGGAGAATACTTAAAAAAACAAACAAACAAACCCAAGTCTTCTGTTTTTTGCAAAGGAACTTTTGTATGAGTTAATACTATATGATTCCTTTGGGAAGAAGTGCTGGACTTTTGTGCTTTTGACCTTCCAGGCTGTGGTGCTTCATGGTTTAGATCTCCAAAATTTTGCTTTATTTCTTTTCATTTGCCCTCCCCGTTTTTTTGGTTAATAAATAAATAAGAAAAGGAAGGGAAGGGCCCCAAGACACCACTTCTTCCTCTGCCGACAAGTCCCTCACCCCTTCTCCATATTGCAAACTCTGCTAAAGAGCCCAGGCCACGAGGCAGGAAGGGGCTCTGGGGCCTGGAGAGCCGCAGAGGGCTTAGCCCACAAAGTCAGCCCAGGTCCTGAGAGAGAGAGCGCAGGCCCCAGTGAGAGGAGGGCTGGCTCACCCCTAGAATCACAGAACTGTAAAGTTCACAGAATCATAGAGCTGGAAGGGGACCCCCTCAAGGGTCATCTAGCCGAACCTACTGCAATGCAGGAATCTTTTGAGTTTACCTTTTCCTTGCTGTCGATGATGGAGACGCCCTCCAGGCTGATGGCAACCACCACGGCCTTGCGCCCTCCCCGATGCAGCAGGCCCTGGGCGGGCTTGTCAATTTCCCCATAGAAAAAGGCACACCTGGAAAGGAGGGAAAGAAACACAAGGAGAGAATTGCAAGTGGGGAATCTCAAGCGCAGACAGGAGGGCTGATGTGATCAGGTCCTGCTTGCTCAAGAACTTCCCATTGGGTTAGCAACTGTGGTAATGGGATGCTAGACTAGACAGGCCTCCCTTGACCTGACCCAGCAGCCAGGCTCTTCTTACGCCCTCGTGGAACCTCCAGGTCCAAAGGCAGTCTATCTGGATTCATTGGTTCTTAGGGGTATTTGGTTTCTGCAAGAACAGGATGCTGTTCAGCAGGCAGAGAGCGCGCAGACAGCCCATGAACATGGCAGCCAGCAAGGCCAGGGCACCCTGACAGAAACCACCCTGTGGTTTGCCATGCTGGCATCCAGGTTGCCCATTCTGCATCCCCACAACCACCAAGCCACCCGACTCACCCGTAATGAGGCAGTTCGTGGCACTTCTGCAGGTAGGAGAGGTAAAGCTTGCGCAGGGCAGCCCGGTCCTCGCAGGCCTCCTCCTCTTCAGGCAACTCCCGGAAAGCTCGCAGCAGGCCCTGTTCGTTCGCAGGCGAGTGGGCACTGCCTCGCTTCCACAGGGCCGAGAGGAGTCTGTGGCCTCTTTGGCAAAGGTGGGAAGGCAGGAAAGAGTCCAGCCTCTCTCTGAGCGGGGAGGAAAAAGCTCATTCAGCATAGGGTAAGGTACAGCTCCCTCTGCCCCCCACAAAGCTCTGTGGGGTGCAGGTTACAGCCCTACAGGGTTTTCCTCATGAGGGGCCACTCTAAACCAGTGTTTCTATAAACTCATTCCCAGTGCCCCCCACCCCATATTAATTAATTAATTCTGGCTGGCTTGCCCAAGCCACTCTAGGCTGATTCCAACACACATAAAAACATAACAGAACATCAAGCATTAAAACCCTTTTTAAATACAGGGCTGCCTATAAAAAGCATTGTTCACAATAGCAGTTTGCATGACCCACTAAGGAAGTTGTAGTCCACAGGGAATGGAGGGCACTTCACCAGCTAACCCTGTTCAAGGCTGCCAGGTCAACAAGGATGGTCCACATACCTTCGCTATGAAATTACAAGCAAGCAGCTACTTCAAAAGGTGCTGGAGAAAGTCACATTTTCTTCAGACATACATGCTAAGATTTTTGGTCATGTTAGGCGACAGACAAAAAGAGGTTCCTGCCTCCCAAAGGATTTGTGTTTGAATCAGCCAACGGGGGACGCAATTCATTAGGCAATGAAAATGTCCCTTAAATGATGGGCCGGAGGCAAAAATTCTTGAGACACGTTTCTTTTGAATTAACAGCCTGTTCTGATCAAGAAATCACCGGCTTCTTAATTAGATTTTTACCCTTTTGGGACCTACAGAACAGAGTGAAAAAACTGGAAAGGATCAGAGCAAGTCAGCAGAGGGTACTTCTAAGCAGACAGCAGATCTTTTTAGCCAAGTATAATTAGGGATTTTAATTAAAAATGGATTAAATTTTTAATTATGATGATTTTGTTCTCAATTGCAACTTGCGCAATGAAGATTATATAGTGGAATAGCTTCACCTGGACGTTGTCAAGGCCACTAGGGCTAGCTCACTGAAGTTGATGACCGACCTCTTCTACTCAGAAAAGTGTGACTGCATACACAACATACATTTAAGTCACATGACTCCCCCCAAAGAATCCTGGGAATTGTAGTTTGTTAAGCATGCTGAGAACTGAAGCTCTGAGGGGGGTGAACTACAGTTCCCATTCATCTCCTCTTTTGGGGGGAGGGGGGAATGTGCATTAAATGTGCTTTCAACATATGGTGTGCATGCCGTCTTTTGCGTGCTCTTGGATCCTTCACTGGCCCCCTTTCACCTACTCCCAGCCCCCCGGCTTGATCTCCCTCCACTTGGGCACAGGGTGTGAGCTGTCTTCCTTCAACTTGCATTTGGTTCCATCTAACTCCAGGATTCCATTGCTGTGGTTGGAAAGTCTCCCCACACCTTTTGTCTTCCCTCTACACCAGCTTACTGGTGATTGCCACCTCCTTCCTTTTCTCGCCAAACCGTTTTTATTGATTCTCCAAATTCTACCAGATCAGCCACAAATTAAGACAAATTTAATATCCCTCCCCAAAAAAATTGTTTTACAATTCTTGATGTGCCCAAAGTTTCCTCTAGTTGCTGCTGTGTTTTTTTCTAGTTGTTCACATGCCATTCCTTACAAGTAACCTTCTATTACAATAGTTTTTTGTTGTTGTTTTAAAACTTATTATCCTTAACCATCAGTTATCCACTTGCCAATTCATGCACATACAACATTTTAGCGTTTGCAAATATTACCACCTCCTTTTATATCTGGGCCATTTTTGATGCCTCAAGAGCCTTCAGAGACCCTCTTATTTGCCTTCCCCAGCCCCACCTTGCACAGGCACAATACCCCCCCCCCCCATTAAGGGCTGAGCACCCCACAGATCTCAGCCCCACAGCTGTGTCCACTTACTTCAAGAAACTGGCTGTGTGCTGCTCCGGATCGTAGCGCCCCAAGTTCACCCGGCAAACCAAGGCTCCCAGCACCTCGCAGTCTGCCAGGTCACAAGGGTACCGCCCTTCCAGGATGTTGTACTTGGCTTCTTCGTACAAGAGCCGCAGGACATCTTCATCCTGGATCTTGGGACGAGGAGATGAGAAATGAGGATGGGCACACAGGCAGCAAGCAGATTCAAAAGCCAAACAGGGGAAGGGGTAGAGAATGTAAGAAGAGGCTGCTGGATCAGGCCAACGGCCCATCTGGGCCAACATCCTGTTCTCACAGTGGCCAAGCAAATGCCTCAAAGGGGAAATCCTCAAGGAGGACTCGAGAACACTGAGCAACACTCTCCCCTCCTGGGGTTTCTAGCAACTGGTATTCAGTGTTGAGGATTCCATTCCACCCTTTTGCTGCAGACATGGGATTGTTGTGTGTTGCCTGTCTGCTTACATTCCAGCACAGATTGCTGGCGTAAGCGGAATTTCCGCTCTGTATAGCTGTCGTTTGTTCTCTCTCTCCGAGAAGACGGCAAGGAGAGACGACATGTTTCTTTGTCCTGATTTATGTTTAATAAATGCGTAGCTTAGTATGTATCTACAGCCTCAAGCCTCTTCTGTTGCGCTGTATACACTGCTGAGCAAAGTGTGCTCAAGTCTGCAAGCTTGAGTCGCTGATGTACGTTGGAGCAGAGGTCAATGAATCTTCACAGCGGCAAGGCTGAGAGGGAGACGTTCCAGCTGGGGCCGAGCCAGCTGGCCTTTCAACCCCTAGATGCTAACATTCAGAAGCATTGCTGCTTCCAACAGTAGAGGCCATAGCAGAGTCAACAGACCTCTCCTTCATGAATCTGTCGTACTGTGCAGATCAGTGGCACTACCTAGAGAGTAAAGAAAACTATGCAATTAGAGGATACCATTGGGAGAACTCACCTGGGCCTCCTTCCTCTTTGGGAAAAAGATGTTCCTTCGGAATTGCAGTGATGGCTCATCTGATGAAGAGAAAGAGAACCTAAGAACTGTCCTGCTGGATGAGGCCAGTGGCAACAGCAGCAACTCTCCCCCTCCCATGGTTTCCAGAAACCTGGGATTCAAAAGCACTGCTGCCTCCAGCCGTAGAAGACAATATGGGGCACGTCAAAAGCAAAACAGCCTCTCCTGCAGGCCTAGAAAGCTGTGAGTCGCGAGAACCCTGCAGTGCAGGCTGCTTCCAGGGGAAGCCATACCTGCTCACGGCATTGCCAGGCAGGCAGCCACAGAAGGGACCCCATCCCACATCCCCAACAGCCTCCAGAACTACTGTGCGGATTGGTACCGGCTTGCCCATTAGGCATCCCTCCCCCTCTCGAAAGGGAGGCTGCAACCAGCAGGCCCCCAAACTCTCTGCCCAGTTGCGGCAGAAAGGTAGTAGGAGGCCAGCAGTTTGGGGGGCCGGAGGAGGGAACTTTGCTCACATCCACACCTTCGAAGATCTCATCCTTGGAGCAGCTGGTGAAGCGGAAGAGGAGGTCTTGCCACTGGCGGCAGACCTTGTAGGGCTGGTGTTTGGGCTTCAGCTGCAGTTCTGCCAAGATGAGAGAGAGAGAGAAAAAGATGGCAGAGAGTGAGGGCATTCAGCAGGCTCCCCAGAGACTGACCCCTCCAGCCAAAGGGAAGGCTAAAGGCTAAAGCATTAATTTCCAAAGCCCTGAACAACTTTTGTTCAGGGTGCCTCAGAGACCACTTGGACCCTTCCATCTCAGATCACTAAGATCATTTGCAAGCGCAGCGCTGGATCGCTCCCAGAGCTGGCAAAGCTCACTTGATAACAAGAGGAAAGACAGTGTCATCAGCCCATTCCATTACCCACATTTGGATAAAGTGTTTCATGTGCTTCCTATTTTGTCTCAGTGTGTTGGGCCCAATTCTATGGAACTCCCTGCCACTAGAAATCAAGCAGGCACCATCCCTGCTAAGTTTAAGATGCCTGGCTAAAACAACTGAACATTCCAGCAAGCCTGTTGCACCGTATATGCTGCTCAGATGTTTTCATCTCTGTTGCTTAATTTGAGTTCTAAATTTTGTATAATTGTGTGTTTTTATTTTGTAAACTATTTTGAGGCACCGATGCAGTTAGCTGTGACTCCTACACTGCAGGGAACTGCAGAAACTCAGCTATATAATCTAATCACCAAATGGTTACCACAATGGAATGTTTAGACGCCATTTCCCCCTTGGTGGAGCTTATGATGATGATGATGATTTTCTTTTCATTTCTATACCGCTTTATATTTTAAACAATGAATCTCAAAGCAGTTGCAACACATTAAAACATAAAATAAAACAATCCAAAATAAAACAAATGCAAGCTCCAAGGAAAATATTTTAGATCCTTCTCCAGGTGACATTTTGCTTTCCCAATTGCCAACCTGGCATCTAGAGAGCTCCATTAGGTCGCAATCGGACTCGCACCTGTTGCAAGAATGAGCCTGGTGCCTGGCTAATTTCTAACACTGGGGGTTGGACTGGATGACCCTTTGGGGTCCCTTCCAACTCTGCAATTCTATGATTCTAGGAACAGGAGGGCTATATTTTTTAGAAAAATAATCAAACATGAGAAGAGCCCTTCTGCAGCTAGATCAGGCCGAAGGGGGCCCATCTAGCCCAGCGTCCTGTTCTCACAGTGGACAACCAGATGCCCCGATAGGGAGCCCCAAAGCAGGACCTGGAATTTGATTTGTATGGTGCTCATTACGCTAGCAACACATTTTACACAGCAATGCATTTGAAACAAGGGAAAGGGTGTGCGGGTTTTTGGAGGGAAGTTCCAAAGAAAAATATGCATCAAGGGTTGCCACATCGCTGACGTTAGGTCAGCAAGTTTATCACCTAAGTCCAGATGTGGGCTTAGGCAGAGAGAATACTAGATTGCTCAAAGCAACCTCAAGGGCTCCTGCCACAAGCAACTTTCAAACCTGGGACTTGCTTGACTCACACCTTAGTCATCGACTCAGGTTGCTTGCATGAGCTCTCAAAAGCAGATTTGCAGCTTACATCCCACAATCAGTTTGTGAAGTGCTAGGAATCAGCAGATCACCCATGGGAAAGGCACTCTGCACATGCTCAGGTGCACTTCTGGGGTTAAGGAACATGAGATGGGTGCGAGAGGAAGGCACTTTGCACATGCTCAGGCACCCCTCACCGCTAGCTGGCATAACAACAGATTCTCCAGGGGTGCTAGGAGCAGCGACAGAGTTAAGGGCTCATTTAGAAAGGAGCCGCGGAGCCTTACCAAGAAATGGGGAGACCAGCCACAGAGAAAATAGCTCCAGGGCCCCCTCAGGCAACCTCAGGCTTTCCAAGACAATCCGATGGAGCTCGTGAGCTGTGATTGACGGCAGGTTGTCCACTGTTAGCCGGACCACTGTGTCATCGATCAGGTACACCAGGACGTCCAGGCCTGGGACAAGAGAAGGAGGAGGATTGGGACACCAGCACATTTCTTGCAATTGAGCAGAGGTCACAGGAGATCCAGATTCTAGCTAAACTCCCACCCCGTTTTACGTGCAAATGACGCAGGAGCCCCCAAAACCAACAATCTCCTTCACTTTTCAGATGAAGGAACCAGACGCAGTCAGGTCTCAAAGCATTCTGTGCTGGCATCTAAACCAGACTGCTTTACCACACTTGGCCACTTTGATTTGTCACATAATACCTGCTCTGTATTTGTTAACAGATATTTTAGTGTGGCAGCACCTGAACTTTGGAACTCCCTGCCAAATGACATCATTGTATTCTTTTCAGCACCCGCTGAGAACATTTTAAGTAAATGAGGAGAGCCTGCTGGATCAGGCCAAAGGGGGCCCATCTAGTACAGCATCCGCTTCTTACAGCAGCGAACCAGGTGCCCCAATGGGAAACCGGCAAGCAGGACTTGAGTGCAAGAGCAACTGCTTTTCAGAAGCATTACTGTCTCCATTTTAATTTTTTTTAGGCAAACCTACCCAGGTATGTAGTAGCTTGACATGTAATGTTTTTAGCTTATTGCCAATTTTAATTATTATTTGAGTGTTTCAAACAGCTGTCTTTTAAAATGTCAGGTAATGCTAAATAATAATAATAATAAAATATTGGCAAGTACTTGCCAATCGTTTTTAATGATTTCCGTGCAATTTACACACATTTTAACTACCAAGCAAAACTAAATTATATTACTTTAACCAAAATATCTTTTGAATTCCCAAGTCAAAGTGTTGGTGCTGACCTTTACAGCCCTAAACGGCTTCGGTCCAGTATACCTGAAGGAGCGTCTCCACCCCCATAATTCTGCCCAGACACTGAGGTCCAGTGCTGTGGGCCTTTTGGTGGTTCCCTCGCTGCGAGAAGCCAAGTTACAGGGAACCATGCAGAGGGCCTTCTTGGTAGTGGCACCTGCCCTGTGGAATGCCCTCCCACCAGATGTCAAAGAGAGAAACAACTACCAGACTTTTAGAAGACATCTGAAGGCAGCCCTGTTTAGGGAAGCTTTTAATGTTTAATAGGTTATTGTATTTTAATCTGTTGGAAGCCGCCCAGAGTGGCTGGGGAGACCCAGCCAGATGGCCTGGGTATAAATAATAAATTATTATTATTATAAGTCATGTTACAACTTTTTAGGTCCCCTCATTTTTGGAATTTGAAAGCTGAAGAATTTGACATGCCCTACTCCCTACCACCCACGGAATGTGGCCTGTCAAGCAAAAGGCAGGACCTTGAAGATCTTGAGGGCTTATCCCATAACCACAAACCCCAACCCTGCGCAGGCCTGTTCCCTTCCAGCACCAGTATGAGGGTCGAGAACCCCCCTGAGGTGCCCACCCCCCCTTTCCAGGCCCTTTCTTCTGCCTCTCCCCCTTCTCACTCACTTCGGGGTCCTGCGGAAGAGATGCTGCTCCTCTGGGAGTGGTCCTCCGTGCTTTGGGGTATGCCGAGCCGGTCCCCCTCCATCTGCAGAGACAAAGCAGGCGCACATCTGAAATGTGAGGAATTGGGTGCGGGTTCAAATCCCAGCTGCAGGATATACTTGAGGAGAGGAAGTTGATTTGTAGTGGGTTGAAGGTGCCATACACCATGTCTGGTAAACCAAGCAGCAAGTTTGCAGTTGCTATGCTACACTGACTGGCTTCCAGGGTTTCAGGCTGGGGACATTTCCAGCTCCACCTACTCACCTGTGCCTTATACTGGTCCATCTAGCTCAAAGCTGTTTGCACTGACAGGCAGCAGCGGCTCTCCAGCGTTTTTCAGGCTGGAATTGGCGCAGTTAAAAAGACACCCCCATCCCCGACTGTGGATGCAGCGCAGGTTTTGATGTCCTGCGGCCCTGCTACCTGTGTAAGGGGGAGGTCAGAAGGCTGCACGTCTCCCCCGCCCCCCGTTTTTCTTGTGCTACTGCTAAACACTTTCCCTCCTCCCCGTCCCCAGCCGCAATCGGAAGGAAGCGCTTTGCGCCCTTTCCCTTTGTTTCCCCACCCCACCCCATCGCGACCAACTTTCTCCCGTCTCCAGCAAGTGAGATTGCACTCCTCTCGGGGCAGGGTCCTAGGAAATTCCCCGCCCTGCTCCGCTGGACCCAGAGGGCGGAGGGGCGTGGTTAAGGCGCTGCGCTACCCAGGTGAGCCGGGGAGGGGGTGCTGGAGCCTTGCCCAGGTGAGTGGGGGCCAAGGGAGATGGGGAGGGGGCACACTCAGAGCAGAGGGGGGAGAGAAAGTCCCTAGGAGGCGGCAGCCGGGGCGGGGGAAGCGCGCTGCCTACCTGGCCGCCAGTCTCACCTGTGTCCTCCTTTTCCTTCCTGCTTTCGTTGCAAGGAGGAAAGTTATGCAGTTCTAACAGGGGACCCACCCCCGTTGCGTCTGGCGTCACTCCTTCCGAGCTCGCTTATTGGCTGCTCCTGCCAGCCCAGGAATTTCACCGGGCGGGGAGGAGGAGAGGGGAAACTGCGCACGCGCAAGCGCGCGCGGCGGGGTTTCCCCACCCCCAATTGTGGGGACGTCACGGCGGGAGGCTGGCTCGGGTGATTTGTGACGCGCTTGTAATCGGGGGATTACGGTAGGTAACTGGGGAACGGGCAGCCGCTTGAGCGCCGCGTGGAGAGAAGAGCTTTCCAAGACGGGGCTCCAGCTGCAGCAGCATTTGCCCTCTCTTTAAGAGTCTCTGCCCATCGAGCTCAAAGAATTTTTCCGTTCCTTGGCCTCCACATCCCCCGCCCGTTTATCATTGAACGTGTGAAGCGAGGAACACTTCCGATTTTGCGCGTGTGTGTATCCCCTGTTTCGGATATTCCATAAGGCTCTCCCTTAGAATGGAGCACGTGGGCAAGCAGGATTCGAACACTATCCCCTCCTGTGATTTTTCAGCAGAGCATAGCCTCTCCGTGAATTTGTCCAGTCCTCTTTTAAAGCCATCTAAGTTGGTGGCCATCACTGTCTCATGCGGGAGCGAGTTCCACACTTCAGCTATGTGCTGCATAAATAAGTCATTTCTTTTATCTATCCTGATCCTTCCAACATTCAGCTTCGTTGGATTCCCATGAATTCCAGTGTTATGAGAGAGGAGGCAAAACTTCTCTGTACAGTATCCACTTTCCGCAGCCCATGCATGATATTATAAACTTCTGTCTCTTTACTCGCCTTGTCTCTGAACTAAAAATGCCCAAACGCTGCAACCTTTCTTCACAGGGGGTTATTCCATCCCCTTGATCACTTTGGTTTCCCTTTCCTGGACCTTTTGCAATTCTACAATATCCTTTTTGAGGTGAGATGACTCAAAATTTGGGTCACACCAGAGATTTGTATAATCACATCTTTATGTCTGCAGTTTTATTTTCCGTTCCTATCCTCATGATTGGATTGAACTGACCTTCAAAACACACTGAGTGCACAATTAATTTTTATTTTTCCTAAAAAAATTAAAAAAAAGTATTTCAATTCAACTTCTCTTGGCTACCGGCAAAACTTTCAGACGTTTTTACTGCCTGTAAAATTAACACAGCGTAGCCTTTTCTTAAAAGCTCAATTTACTGAATGTAAGTCAAGCGCGCCAGATCAGATCTCTCGTCGATCTCGGGGCAAAGGTGTGTTCCTAGTTATGATGGTGCTTGGAAGATTGGAAGCATCCAGCGAAAAGAGTGGCAAACTTAGCGAGTCAGATACGATTCTGGTCTAAAGGTTAACAGCAGTGAATATTTAATCCTGGGAAGGAAGAGAAGCCAGAAGGAGACAAGGGATTCTTTCTTTGCTGGGGTGGGGGGTGGGTTTTCAGCCTCTGCAAGGGGGATCCGGCCTTTGGAGCAGCAACTGCGGGGGCGGGGCGGGGACAGGATCCCTGCGCCCAGGTGAGTCAAAGGACAGAAGGTGTAGACGGAAAAGAATCACGATTCCTGGAGAATGCAGGAGGGGGTGGGGCTCTTGTACTCGGGTTTTGCTTGCAGGTTTCCCCACAAGCATTTATTTGGCCACTGTGGGAACAGGATCATTGGCCCTGATCCAGCAGACTCTTCTTATGTCCTCGAGCTAAGAGCTAGTGAGAAACCTACTGAGTAACACGCAAGAGTTAATAAGGCAACTGGTTAATTCATCAAGATTCTTACTCTTACACTTCAGTTTTTATCCCATCCTTCCTCCATAGAGATTCCCCTCCCCAAAAATGATTTAAAAAATAATAATGAAGCAACCCTGTAAGGTAGTTAGGCTGCAAGACAGCAGTTTCCAGCAACTGGTATTTGGAAGTACAGTGGTACTTCGGGTTAAGTACTTAATTTGTTACGGAGGTCCGTTCTTAACCTGAAACTGTTCTTAACCTGAAGCACCACTTTAGCTAATGGGGCCTCCTGCTGCCGCCGCACCGCTGAAGCACAATTTCTGTTCTCATCCTGAAGCAAAGTTCTTAACCTGAGGTACTATTTCTGGGTTAGCGGAGTCTGTAACCTGAAGCGTATGTAACCCGAGGTACCACTGTATTTCTGCCTTCAACTGCAGAGGCAGAGCATAGCCATGGTGGCTAGGAGCCCTCTCCTCCTCCATGAATTTGTCCCAACCTCTTCTGAAGTGGCTGTCTTGTGGGAGTGAGTTCCACAGATTAACTACGCTCTGTGTGAAGGAAGGCTCTGTTTTATCTGTCCCTGCCTGAACCTCCCAACATTCATTGGATGCCCACAACCTCTAGTGTTATGAGAAAAGGAGAAAACCTTTTCTCTGCCCCCTTTTCTACATGCTGTGAATAATTTTACAAATCGTGCCATCTCCTGCTTGCCTTTTCCCCAAACAAGAGAGTCCCAAGTGCCGCAGCTTTATCTCGTAGGGGAATGGCTCCATCCCCTTGATGGTTTGGGCTGCCATTTTCTGATCTCCCCCCACTCCCAGCTCTACAATATCCTTCTTGGTGTGGGGTGACCGAAAGAGTGTGAAGAGGTTGTCCTCCCCACTTCTGTTGCTGCTGTGGGGCTGTTGCAGGAGCCATGCCTCTGGGTCCCAGCACAGCACCCTGGCCAGTTCAGCCCAGATTGCATGGTTAATGGTCCATCTCAAGTGGGTGGGTGGGTAGGAGAGCGTGTGTCCCTGTGGTGCGCATTTGGTTAAAGATTAAGACAACTCAACCAGTGCATTCCCTTTGACCAGATTTTGCCCCCCCATCCCTCTGCGATGCACCCAGACTTCCAGAATCTTTTCCGATGTCCGGTGCAGAATTTGCTGCAGGATGGATTTCTGGTAAGATCTGAACTCCTTCTTCCCTTTACACACACACACACACACACACACACACACACACACACACACATTGAGGTGGGGGGCTTTGTTGTAGGGACACATCCCTATTTCAGCATGGAAGACCGTATGATCCAGTGGGGTGGTATGTGTGTGTGTGTAGAAGAATAGAATCATAGTTATAGGGTTGGAAGGGTTCTCATCTAGTCTAACCTGCTGCAATGTCGGAATATGCGGGTGGCCCATATGGGGATCGAACCCGTGACCTTGGCGTTATCAGCGCCACACTTTAACCGACGGAGCTGTTGCAGAAGTGGCTGGAATGTCAGACGAAAGACCCAGGATTGGCAGCATCGATCCAACCCCACAACGCTCCCCGGCTGGCCTTGATCCAGTCCCCCTCTGAGCCTGAGCCGCCTCACAGGGTTGCTAGGAGGGGGAACTCCCCCCCCCCCATATACACACGCTGCCCTAAACTCACTTAGAAAAAGAGTGGGGTAAAAATGCAATGACTAAGTGAAAGAAAATAGGATCGGGTTGGGGGAGGACAAGAGAAGTTGTCTTTTGCTGCTCCCAGCTTCTCACAACTTGGCCCTTGTTTCCTCACCACAACCCTTTGGAGCAGGCCGTTTTTCCTTTCTGGTTTGCAGACAAGGGAAATGAAACCGAGAGTGACTTAGCTTTCCGTGGCTGCTCAGAGACTTTTTTTCAGAAGCAACACGTCAACCCTGCCCCTCTCTCTCCCCAAGCCAGCCTAGCGCCTTTTCACCCTAACAGCGACCCCACTAATTCCCCCTTTTTAATTTTTATTTTGCTACAGGGGCAGCAGGGCTGGTTCTGGGGCACCCAGTCGACACGGTGAAGGTGATTTCTTTGGGGGGAGGGGGCTGGAAATGCTTAAGGCAGGGGAGGGGTGGGGAGGACTTCCAGCCCTGGGGGAGGCCTGAAGGAGATGGGTCTCAGATGGGAGGGAGGGAGATGGTAGCCAGAAGGGTTGGGGAGGTGCATGCCCAAAGAGGTCAGCTGCTTTAGAGGCTCTGTGCTAGCTGCAACTGTTGCATAGCATGCAACGGGCACTGAATCCACACGGGGCTCTGGACAGAGCAGCATGCTGGGTTGCGGCAGAGAACCTCATCCCCAACAAAGTTCTTTTCTCCCCAGAGGGATTGGTGGCCAGTGGAGTTTTGTGAGGAAGCAGAAACTGGCGTGTTCACTGGGGTTGTGGGACCCTGGCTTAGTTGTCGAGTCCATGTGTCGCATGGACAAGGTCCCAGACTCAGCCTCTCCAGTTACCAGTGGATGGGAAAGAGCCTTCCAGGGCTGCCTTATACTGAGCCAGACCATTGGTTAATCTAGTTCAGTATTGGCTACTTTATGGGCTACTTTTAAAATGAGGATGCTTTTTAAAATTGCATTTTAACCTGTATTTTAAATTGGTCCCCCCCCATTATTTTTTTACTGTAATTTTACTGATGTTAGCCGCCCTGAGCCCGGCTCTGGCCGGGGAGGGCGAGGTATAAATAAAATTTATTATTATTATTATTATTATTATTATTACCTGCACTGACTGGCAGCAGTGGCTGCCCAGGGTTTCAGGTAGTGGACATTCCCAGAGACTTTGGGGCTGCTAATTTGGCCCTGAGTTGGGGGCTTTTCTTCCGTTCCAGGTGCGGTTGCAGACACAGGCCAGATACCAGAACGTTTTGGACTGTGTGGTCAGGACGTACCGTGAGGAAACGGTGAGCCTCTTTCTGTTGTGTGTGCAGTGCAGACTTCACCTCTGAGCTTTCACCTCCTTTTAAAACCCAGCCTAATCTTAAACCATTAGATTTAGACTAAGGTCTTTTGTAACAGCATAATTTTAGAATGCAATTTTAACCCCCCAAAAATCACTTACTGGTATTCCGAAGAAGGAAATATGATCTGCCCAGTTCTGTGGAACTGTCTGCCACTAGAGATTTAGCAGGCGCCTTCCGTGCCAACTTTTAAATGTGTGCTGAAAACATATTTATTCCTCCGGGCCTATCCAGGCAATTAAGAACACATTCTTCTACAGTGGTTATTTGATGTCTCTTTTTAACTTTTTAATGCTTTTTTCTTGTATGGTTTTATGTTTGTATTGCTGTAAACTGCTTTGATATATTGTTATGACACAGAGGCATATGACTATTTTTATAGACAAGTACATATAAATATTTTGCTTTTTAATATTAATATTCAATATTTCCCCCAAATGCCCAATTTGGGAATAATCTCCACCCCCCCCACCCCAGAAATAAATTCCTAAGCTGGTCTGTTTCTTTGCAGTTCGTGCTGCCTCTTGACTCTACAGCCACATTCCTGATCCTTGCCTATCTAATTTCTTGGGAGAGTTGACATCATCACAGGGGCCTGCCCCACAGATCGCTTGGGAGCGGTGACTTTGCCAGAAGAGAGGGTGGGAGGCAAGGCATCACCGGAAGAGAAAGACAAGAGAGGACAGAGGCTTTTACAAAATTTGCAGCTGCTAATTGATATGTATAGATGCAAATTGAGAAATAATTGCTATAATTTTGAATACAAGTGTAGCATATCTCACCATAATGGAGGGGAATCTGCTGCCATCAGGAGACCTCCGTGCCTGGAAACTTTGCCCTTGAAACTGATTTGGACTGGACAACCTTTGCATTAGAAGAAAAGGAAAGTAGGGCATATGTGATTGTACTCAGCTAAATTCCAATACTAGCAGATCCGTGGAAATCACTGCACCTGTGTTAGTGATGCCCATTCATTTAAGTGGGTCTAGTCTTGTGTGCGACTAACATTAGGTGCAACCTCTAGGTACCCAAAACATTGCTACTCCCCATGAGTTGCAGGCAGCGGTGGAGGAAGGGGTGTGTGGTGGGTGTGGGCTGCCCCAGGTGTCACCACTGAGGGGTGTGTGTGTGAAAAAATGCTGGGCAGCACTCACCGCGGAGCCTGCAGCACGCCCAAGCCACGCATCTCTCCCAGGAGACATGGGCCGGCTTGGGCGCGCACAGGTTCCGTATTGCCCAAACGTCTGCCTGCTGCCTCCCCCCCCCCCCCCGCTGTAGGGCGGCTGAGTGGGAGGAGGCAGGCAGACTCCGGAGTCCCTGCGGGCTGGTCCTGCTCCTGGGTGTGCGGCCCCAGGCACCTGAGCGGCTTCCTCCACCGCTGGTTGCAGTCTCTCTTTAGGGTGTTCATACCCTAGAAAATGTCCCTGATGAAAATAGATATGTCCTACTGTACCCCCCCAATGCTTCTCCTATGAAAAATGAGACGTTCGACTCCTAAGGAGAAGCAGGACATTCCGGTATGAAATCAGAAGCCGCGAGGGCTTCTGTAAATCCGGGGCTGTCACTGGAAAATAGGGATACCTGGAGGGTCTGGGTGTTGGATAATTGGAAGAGAACCTGACAGTGTATCCTGACTCACTTTGACCAAAGGCTCAAGCTGGGACTGCTGACCTCCTCTTCCTCCAGTGAGAGCCCCTCCAACCAGGGCTAGTTGGATCCCACTTGCCATAAGCTACTCAGCCCTTGCTGATAAATTCACCCAAAAGGGGAGAGGTTTGATTGGGGAGTGGGGCGTCAGAAGGAACCACTGTGCAAGGCGTTTTAACCCCTGCTCTCTATCTCTCTGGGGACGCGGGTGGCGCTGTGGGTTAAACCACAGAGCCTAGGGCTTGCTGATCAGAAGGTTGGCGGTTCGAATCCCTGCAATGGGGTGAGCTCCCATTGCTCAGTCCCTGCTCCTGCCAACCTAGCAGCTCGATAGCACATCAAAGTGCAAGTAGATAAATAGGTTCTGCTCTGGCGGGAAGGTAAACGGCGTTTCCGTGCGCTGCTCTGGTTCGCCAGAAGCGGCTTAGTCATGCTGGCCACATGACCCGGAAGCTGTACGCCGGCTCCCTCGGCCAATAAAGCGAGATGAGCACCACAACCCCAGAGTCGGTCACAACTGGACCTAATGGTCAGGGGTCCCTTTATCTTTTTTTACTCTGGCTAAATCCCCAGTTTATTTATCTGTAGCCCACCTTTTTCTCTTCAAGGTGGCATACATGGTCCCCCCCCCTGCAGCCAGCCTCCGGGGCCACCCCCCGCTCATAGAAGCATAGGGCTGTGGGGTTGGAAGGGACCCTAAGCGTCATCTAGACCAACTCCCCCTTGCAGGGCTCACCTGCCTGCTTCTCCCTTGCAGATCCTTGGCTTCTTCAAAGGCATGAGCTTCCCGCTGCTCAGCGTGGCCATGGTGAACTCTGTTGCGTTTGGGGCCTACAGCAACTTCCTGCTCTACCTGTGCGGCACCCACCACCGCGATCGCAGCGCCAACCCCCCCAGCTACACCCATGTCTACGCGGCTGGATGCTTCTCAGGACTGGTGCAGGTAAGGAGCAGGTAGCCCCAGCTGACTTGTCTGGGACTCTGCTCAGTTTGCATGGTTTTGGGATCTGCGTGACTTCACGCCCAAGTCCCAATCAAGGGAAGTCATAGCACTGCTCTGTTCTGCCTTGGTCAGACCCCACCTGGAGCCCTGTGTCCAGTTCTGGGCACCACAGTTTTAAGAAGGAGATTGGCAAGCTGGAAGGTGTGCAGCAAAAATGATCCAGGGTCTGCAAACCAAGCCTTAGGAGGAACGGTGGAGGGAGTTGAAGATCTTTAGCATGGAGAAGAGGAGATTGAGAGGAGATATTATTTCCATCTTGAAATATCACGCAGAAGGTGGGTTCAAATTGCAAGAAAGGAGAACCTGACGAAACATCAGGGAGAACTTTCAGATAGCGAGAGCCGTTCGAGAGTGGAACGGACTCCATCAGAAGGTGTTATAGATGCAAATTGAGAAATAATTGCTATAATTTTGAATACAAGTGCAACATACCTCACCGTAATGGAGGGGAATCTGCTGCCACCAGGAGACCTCCGTGCCTGGAAACTTTGCCCTTGAAACTGATTTGGACTGGACAACCTTTGCATTAGAAGGAAAGTAGGGCATATCAGCTAAATTCTATTACTAGTAGACCCATGGAAATCACTGGACCTGTGTTAGTGATGCCCATTCATTTAAGTGGGTCTACTCTTGAGTGCGACTAACATTAGGACTCTCCTTTATTGGAGGTTTTTAAACAGAGGTTGGATAGTCTTCTGTCAGCTATTCTTTAGCTGGGATTCCTGCATTTCAGGGGGCTGGACTAAATGCCCCCTTAGGGTTCCAGCTCTACAGGCCTATGATTCTAAAACATCCTCCTTCCATGTTTTCCCCTGTTCAGCTCTTGAAACAGCCGCACAATTTCCCCATTACGACGCTGTTCAGTTGGTTATGAGCTGTATCAATTGCTCAAGCCATTTCCTTCTCTGGAGGCTGCCCCTCCTCTCTAGGAATTAATCTTTTTTTCTTTTTTTCATTCTAATTTTACACATTTTATTTGATGCATGTATCAAGCCATATGAAAGCTGAAGCATATGGTCCACATAAAAGCCACCTTTCTGTAAGATAAAATACGTTGTGCGATAGGCAGAATATTAACCTCCTTGTGGGAATTTACTCTTCAAATTGGTCATAACCCAAGACAAAGAGTTCTTTCTCAAAACGACTACTGGGCTCCATGTCTAACTGACATGCTCAGGTGCATTTAAAGTTTTAGAGAAGGTCATAAATATAAGAGATAAAATAGCACCCCATAATTTCCCCAGACATTCTTGTTCGCTGAGGTATCTGCTTACAGGTCCAGTGACAAGCATAAACTGGATCCATCTGGCAATCTGGGGCTACAAAACCATATCGGAGACTAAATCTGGAACAGAATTTAAAAGACAAGGGTTCTTGGGGTTTGGAGAACCGTTTCCCAAAATGCTTGAGCTCTGTATCACATCTGCTACCAACTCTCTTCCATTTTTGGCACAGGATCAGCAGTTACTATTTCTGACTTCATAGATCTTATCTAATTTCAGAGGTGTTAAAGAGGCCACTGCAGTGCTGTTTTTATACAATTCTCTTTAAGCACTTCCAAATCCAAAAGAGAAAGGACAAACTTCTGGAGAAACTTATCTTTGTAGATCCTCGATAATATTTTGCACCTTGCGGTGTCACACAACAATGTGTATTAAGATTATTATTTTTTACACACCCACATACCATTTTTGTCAGTTGGTTAATTTTGCTTCCTTTTCTCATTATGCATATTTAATTTTTATAGGAATCAAAGAATTTTAAGAACACATTCATATAACAATAGGAACTTAGAATTGTAGAGTTGGAAGGGACTCCAAGGGCCATCTAGTCCAACACCCTGCAATGCAGGAATCTCAACGTGTTGTCCCCCATCCAATTTGAAGCCATATTGGACCCTGCTTAGCTTTGCAAAAGTACTAGCAGTTTTCTTGCTGCACCATGATAATGAGCCTTTCATAGTTTCCCATGGGATGTATGGATGGGGGTGGAAGTGTGTGCCTTGGACCAGCCTTGGACTAAATTTTGTGGAAAGTGCCCCCCCCTTCCTGTTCCACTGCAGCCCATTTCCTTTCTCCCCCCTGTTTATTCATTCATAATTTTATTTGTATGCCACCTTTCCATAGCTCAAGCCATGCTCAAAGGTAAAAAATACACATAATTGCAAACATAACAAAAGTAGTGATAGACAGTAAATAAACTGTTCTCTCGCCCTCCATTCCCTGTGTTGACGCAGGCTGTGGTCCTGGCCCCCGTGGATCTTGTCAAAGTCCGGCTGCAGAACCAGACCCACCCGTACGGACGCAGAGACCGGCCGGGGGGCCCCCAGCCACAGTACAGGGGTCCAGTGCACTGCGCTGCCAGCTTACTGCGGGAGGAAGGCCCCCGTGGCCTGTTCCGCGGGGTTACGGCGCTGGTGCTTCGCGACACCCCCACCATGGGCATGTACTTCCTGATTTATGCAGTGTTCTGCAGGGCGTTGACTGCAGAAGCACAGGAGCCAGGTGAGATACAAAGAGCGCTGGGGGGACCCGGTGGGTGGGCCACCTCTGCACATCCCCCAAGGCTCTCAGGGAACCTGTTCCTCTGGAATATCGGAGAAAGCTGGAGCCGCAGGGGGGACGAGGAGTGTTTGTGAGTGTGTTTTAGTCTGGAGAAAAGGCAAGTAAAAGGCGCTATGACTGTTGGGATGTGTCCAAGGGAACGGGGGCAATTCGCAGGCCCCCAGCTGGCTCCAGCCCACCAGCCGACAGCCGGGCGAACCCCGGTCCTTTGGAACAGCATTAAACAGCGACTCACAGCTTCAGAAGCCTTCAGAAACTTGAGCACGCCTTAACCAGCAGAGTGAATAACACGCAACAGAAGTGGCGGACAGAGGCATATGTAAAGCATATTTACAAGCAGTTTATTCAGCATAGTTCAGGACAAAGAAAACATGTCTGCTCTCTTTCATGTCCAAGAGCAGGAAGCTTAAGGCAAAAGCTATGCACAAACGGAAGTTCCCAGCAAACTGTGCTGGAACGTAAACAGACATGTGACATACAACAATCATGTCTGTTCCTTTTAAGGTGGAATGGAACCTCAATATCCTAACAATGATAGAAAATTATAAAAATATGTATGGCATGGAGAAAGCTGGGAGAGAAAACTTTTCCTCCCTCTCTCAGAACAACCAGGAACATCCAGCAAAGTTGAATGTTGGACAGTTCAGGACGGGATGAAAGGGAAAACGTCTTCACGCAGCGCATAGTTGAACTACGGAACTCCCTGCCACAGGAGGCTACCAACTTGGGTGGCTTCATAGGAGGATTAGAAAGAAATCATGGAGGAAGGGGAGGCTATCGATGGCTACTAGCTGGGATGGCTATACTCTGCCGCCACAGTCGGAGGCAGAAATGCTTCTGAATACCAGTTGCTGGAAGCCTCAGGGAGGGAGGGAGAGGGCTCTTGTGCTCAGGTCCTGCTTGGGGCATTCACAGTGGGGCATCTGGCTGGCCGCTTTGAGAACAGGACGCTGGACTAGATGGACCCAGCATCCAGGCTTTTCTTATGTTCTTATGGAACCTCCAGGTCCAGAGGCAGCCTATCTCTATCTAGATTCCTAGATTCTCAGGCTCACTGTGGACTAGAGGGGCTAGCATTCTTATGCGTGTGAGGACTGTGAGCTCAGTTCAGCTCCAGGACCCCACACAAACTGCTGGGCTCTCCAATCCCTTAATTTCAAGTCCACATCTTGACCGCCTGGCTACACGCAGTGAATCTCGGGATTTTCGTACAAAACAAAATAGTTCCTTCCGGCCTGACATCTGCTGCCCTCCCTGTTTTAGGGGGCATTATCCCTCCCTCCTGCTTCCTCCTCCACAAGAGAGGCCCCCAACCCATGCTGTGCTCTTTGCCTGCCTCCCCCCACCCCACCCCATCCCTTGCAGGCTCTGCCACAGTTCTGCTTGCCGGTGGCTGCGCCGGGACGGTTTCCTGGGCTTTGGCGACCCCGATGGATGTGGTGAAGGCTCGTTTGCAAATGGACGGGGTGAAGCGAGTGGCGTATCGAGGCATCCTGGACTGCATCCTCACCAGTGCCCGGCAGGAGGGCCCGCGGGTGTTCCTAAAAGGGCTGGCCCTGAACAGCCTCCGCGCTTTCCCAGTCAACGCCATCACCTTCCTGAGCTACGAGACTCTGCTGAAGGTTCTCGGCTGAACCCCCGTTGCATCCTCAGGAGGGGCTGGCGTTGCCGCCCTTCCGCATCTTATTCAGGGCTTTCGCACCAGCATCTTGCAGCCCAGAGACTTGGGGCAGAGGTGGCGCCTAGCAGGGTGGGTGAGTCCTGGTCCCAAAGAAAGCTCAAAGACATTGGCCACCTCTGGGCAAACCATATAGCAATTTAGACTCTTGGGCACATCTGGCACATTTGAGCAAGTGCTGTGGGCACCGCTGCCTCTGCTCACTGCTATTCCCCCTCCTCTGGAAAAACAGAAAGAGAGGAAGTGGGTGCACTCGGAGTCATAGAATGGTAGAGTTGGAAGGGACCTCCAAGGGGCATCTAGTCCACCCCCCCGCAATGCACGAATCGCAGCTAAAGAAGGCCATCCAACCTCTGTTTAAAAAACCTCCAGTGAAGGAGAGTCCACCACCTTCTGAGGGAGTCTTTCCCGTTTTCGGGCGCTCTTCCAGTCAGAAAGTTCTTCCCAATGTTTAGATGGAATCTCCTTTCTTGTCGTTTTGAATCCATTGGTTCGGACCCTACCGTCTGGAGCGGCATAAAACAGTCTTGCCCCATCTTCCATGGGACAGCCCTTTAGATAGTTGGATATGGTTCTCATACCATCTCTCAGTCTCCTCCTGGCTTAGCATCCTCAACTCCCTCAACGTAGGAGCCTGTAGCACCACTCTTGAACCTTGAAAAGCACATAGAGCTGAAAGGGGAAGTGGGAAGGAGAGCCACTCTTCCCCACTTCCTCCTTCAACTCTATGTACTTTTCAGGGAGAAAAGCACACGAGGGTGGGGGCTTAGTCTCAACCTTGCCAACCCACTGCCCCCTCAAATCTGTAACACTAGGTTATTAATGGGCGGTCTACCTACCTGGATTTTTTTTAAGATCGCAGCAGTCATGTAGCCAGCAGCCTTATCCAGTATGGTGTAGAGGTTCAGACTGGGACCTGGGAGACGAGGGTTCAAATCCCCACTCGGCCACAAAGCTCACTGGGTGCTGACCTTGGGCCAGTCACTGCCTCTCGCCTAACCTACCTCGCAGGGTGGTTGCTGTTGTTGAGGAGAAGAACCATGTATGCCACCTTGAGCTCCTTGGAGAAACCGGCAGGATATAAATGCAATGAAATAAACAAATAAAATATCCCAGAGTGGCCCGTTCTGCCTTGCTAAAACACACCGGAAAAGAGGACACAGCTTTGCCATAACATTTGGATAGATGTGAATGAATGAATGAATGAATGAATGAACAACCACTCTAAATTAAGATGGAAAGACAACCCATCTCACCAATAGTGGGCAACAAGACTTGGTGGCCAGGTTGCCTGGGGTTGCCACATGCAACCTACTCGTTTATATGGACTGGCAGTGGCTCTGTAGGATTTTGGACAGCATTTCATAGGAAACCACAGGATGGGTAAGGGTTTAGGCTGACGCCATGCCTGCCCCACTTCCCAAACCTGGATGCGGAGTGGGAAGGAGGGTGTGGATGCAGCTAGTGATTATCTGCCGCCTCCAGCTTCCTATTGAAACCAGGAGGAAGCTCAGTGGGAGCGGAAGGACAATGAGGGCTACTGGACTAAGGGCAAAGGTCCGATGCCATAAATTCGAACACAATGCACCTCCTCAAATTGTTCTTAAATCCCACCAGGCACCTTGTTGCTGCATCACCAGAGGTATTTGAAAGCTTAGGAAATGCTGAGCAGAGCAAAAAGCCTGTGGAAAAGAAGCCAATTTTCTTTACAGAAAAAAAGAGAAAGAAGTTTTTTAGGATACATTCAGATGGGCAGCTACAGCTACAAATCATTTCTCTTCTGCTGTCAGCCACAAGTTAAATTGCAATTGATTTCCCACACTATTGGGGTCTACTCTATACTTTTTCCTGGGGTACATCCTTGCCATGTTTCTTCCATCCTTACCAGTGGACATGATAAGGAGGCGTGTTGGCTCAGAGGCAGAGCATCTCTGCCTTGCATGCAGAAGCCTCCAGGTTCAAACCCTGCTGGCATCTTCAGACAGGGCTGAGAGAGACCCTGTCTGAAATCCCAGAAAGCAGCTGCCAGTCAGTGCAGACAGTACTGAGCTAGATGGACCAAGGGCCCGATTCTGTCTCAGGCAGCTTAGCAGCTGTGGGCTAGGAAGGAGACAATCCAGTTTACCTGAGCAGCAGCCGTTACAAACAAAAAACCTCAGCAACCCTTTTTTAGAAAATTCAATTATTTAATTAGCAGTAATGCACTTGTTTTAAGTTTGATTGCTCAATTACCACTCCTGAAATGATGTGGGGAGAGGGGGAAAGTGTGAACATTTGCTTTTGTACTGAAAGTGTAGATCAGAAGCATTTAATGAGGCAGTGAAAATCCACAGTGTTAAAATGGCGGTGACTGGAAAGGCAGCAGGGCTGTGTTTTTGCAAAATAACTTTTAAGTAGTGTTACAGTGCTATAACACTCATTTAGGAATTATTTTGCTACTTGAAAACAACACATCTCCGAAAATTGTTTCTTAGTACAAATTAAAAGATTGTGGTTTTTTTATGGGCATGATAAAATTGGCCCCCACCAACAAGGTGTGCTGACCCCCCCCCCCAGAAACAGTATTTCTGTCTTGTCGAGATTCAACCTCAAACTGTTAGCCAGCCATCCTCCAACCACCTCCAGAAATTCACACAGGACATTCACTGCCTTCACTGGTTCAGATTTAAATGAGAGGTAGAGCTGGGTATCATCTGCAAACTGGTGAGCACCTGTGTTAACAGGTGTGTGTATCCAGACGTTTCTTTGCTAACCTTGTAGGATCAGTTGCCATCTCCACCACACTGATCAATGAGTTTGAAAGACTCTGGTTCTCAGAAATGACATGCTTAGCAACTGGTTTCTGCTCTCCTTTGGTCAAATTTTCAGGTGTGTGGTTTCTAAAACATGCTTAGGTCAGTTGTAGTTTTAGCTATGTATTGGATACAACTTTTTGGATATAGCTTGCATGGTGAAATGCTGTAGCAGGAGGCTTGCTGACAGCGAATTTGGTTTTTAAGGGTAATTAAAGGTTTTCATAACATAGATGGACATATGACAAGCTGCTTTTAATGTTCAGAATGTTATTAAAATGTGACACCAGAGGGCTCTGCAAAGCAGCCAGAAACCAGCAGTAGGGAGACAGCCGTTTTAATGGAAAAAAACAGAGGTAAGAAGTGCTTTTTAAAAAAATACAAGTACTGTATGTCCTGTGATGTTTTAGAACGATATATCTAATATTGTTCTAATACAGGGGTCAGCAAACTTACCACGCCTTGGGCTGGTGTCTCCAGCGCCAATCACGCGGCGGGCCGGAGGAGCGCATGCCCATACTTGTGCGCACACGCTATTTCCGGCGCACTTCTGGGTCGGAGGAGCACCGGAAATAGCTTGTGTGCATGGGCCTCCTCCGACCCGGATGTGCACCGGAAATAACGCACATGCGCAAATAATGCTTGCGCATGCGCACAAGCTATTTCCAGTGATCCTCTGACCCGGAAGTGGGCAGCCGAGCGGGTGGCAGCAGCGGGAGGCGGGGGTTGCCACGGGTCGGATAAACGAGTCCCTCGGGCCTTATCCGGCCCGCGGTCCTTAGTTTGGGGACCCCTGTTCTAATAGCATTAAACAGCTCAGTGTAGATCCAGCCATGGAGTGTCTTGCTAAAGGTAACAATGGGTCATTTCGACTGCCCAGTGAAAGTTAGGAGATGCTGGGTGGAAGTCTACCACAAATGGAAAATTCCTGTCCTTTGTTTATTGATGCCTTGATGACGGAGGTTTTATCTAGGCGGGGTGGAAGCCCAGTGGATGTTGCAATCGATGCGATGTGCTGGATGTCCTCTGTGAGGTGTTCTTTAAGTGCAGAGATTTTTCTTTGTTGTTCCAAGTATGATTGATTCTGAGAGCCAAGCTGTAGGACGCTCGTATTTAAGGTCCCAATTACAGTCTCCGAGGTAATCCCCCACACAGGCTGAGATCTTGAGAGATGGGCTGCTCGGAAATCCCAGGGTGCCTTCGGTGTGCGGCAGTCAGTGAAAGCAGACAAGACTCACATCTATTCAGCTGCTGGAAGCAAAACAGCCCAGTGGCGCTCAGGTGAGGAGTGCATGGAAACAGGGGTGCAATTATAGGGGACACCTGCTGGAACAGGTGTGCACGTGACAAACTGCCCCCCACTCCAAATGTGCTTCCACATCAAGGGGGACTGTTAATGGATACAGCGGGTTATTTTTACTTCATGGACTCCCTGTAGTCAGAGGAAATGCAGACTAAATGTAAACCAAGTACATATGAGTCGCCTCACCATGAATGTTGTAGGGTTGGAAAAGGTTCAGAAAAAGGGCATTCAGAATGATCAAGGGGGATGGAGCAATTCTCTTACATGGTTGCAGCGTTTGGAACTTCATCGTGTAGAGAAAAGGCAAGTAAACGATGAGTTAATAGAAGTTTTATAACATTATGTATGGCAGGGAAAGGTTTTTCTTGTGATGCTAGAACTCGTGATCCAATGAAGCTGAATGCTGGAAGATTCAGGACAGCTATGTGCTTCTTCACACAGCGCATAGTTAACCTCTGGAACTCACCCCCCCAGGAAGCGGCAATGGCCACCAACTCGGATTGCTTTAAAAGAGGATTGGACAAATTCATGGCTACTACTAGGCATGATGGCTCTGTTCTGCCTCTACAGTGGGAGGCAGCAATGCTTCTGAACAACCAGTTTCAGGAACCCGCAGAACGGGAGAGGGCTCTTGGGCTTGATTCCTGCTATCCAGCCTATGCCAAAGTTTTGTACTATTTCACGCCACAAATGTCTCTTGCCCCCTCCCAAGGCAAAGAGTGAAAGTAGCATTAGTTCTGGTGTTTGAGCAATAGTTTGCTCAGTTATTGTCAGGGAACTGCCATCGGACGGAAGGGAGGTGAAAGGGCTCACACAGGTTGGGAGAGACGCAGCAGCTGAAGAGGAAACCAACAGGGAGGTGAAAGGGCTCACACAGGTTGGGAGAGACGCAGCAGCTGATGAGGGAACCAGCAGGGGAGAGGAGCTGAGCTGGAGGGATGGCTCAGAGACACTTCCAGCGAAAACAGTGGAGAGGTTTCAGGACCTCCTGTAAGAACACCCACTCCTCGCCGGAAACTGTCACGCAGAGATTCCAGAAGACGTGTTTCCGTTAAGGAGCTTTTATGTTGGAAGCGATTACGAAAGCAACCACTGTCGGAATCTGCTAGTGACTAGAGTAGCCATGTCTGAGGGGCTCTGTCACAGACAGAGGTTTGTGGACTTGAACAAACTCTGAGGGGATACGATTTTACGCACAAGCAGCTCATCATCCCATCACAGCATTCCGACAGTCTTTGAAAGCAGCTTGTGCAGGAGAAGGTATCATGAGCAACCCAGCCGGAACCGGAGAAGCAGGAGCTGGAGCGGGTCCAAGCCTGGAAGAAAGGTACCAGATGTTGGAGGTCCAGCTAGCGATGCAGACGGCGAGGCTTGAGGAGAGGAGGGCTCAGGATGCAGACAAAGGGGGAAAGCCACCCAGTTCGCCAGAAAGGTACCAGGATTGGTGCAGAAGTTTGGGGGAGCCCAAAACTATCATGGTTTTCGGACAGAAATGCAATATGCCCTCAATCTGCAGTTTGATGAATTCCTGACGAGGAATCACGAGTGGCTTTCGTGATTGAGCATCTTGAAAAGGGGGCGAGAGACTGGGTTAGACCCCTGATGGCAGCGAATAGTGACGTCTTAAAAGACACGATGAAGTTCTTTCGCGCCATGGATCTGATGTTTTCCAGCGATATTGAAAAGGGAGTGGTGCGCAGACAGTTAATGGGTTGCAAACAGGGGAGCCGATCTGTCCGTGAGTACTGGACTGAGTTCACCATGCTTGTTCACAGATTGGGGTGGGACTTATCGGCGGAACCCATTCAAATGCTCTTTGAAGAAGGGCTTTCTTCGGCTGTGAAAGACGAACTTTCCCGGGCGCCCAGGGCGGAGTCTATGGACCAGCTGACCAAATCAGCGCTGGCCATAGGAGCGCGCCAGGAGGCGAGAGCATTGGAGAGGCGGGAAGGGAAAGGGGAACGTTGGAAGGAGTTCCGCATTCCAGACATTCCAGAGCCAACTTTCCCACCGGCAGAGCCGATGGAAATCGGAACAGCGCGCGCGCGTGCAGTTTCAAAGCCCAGTGAGGGGGCAAAGAAGGAGGGAAAAGGCGCCCGGAAATGCTATCTCTGCCAACAGCCAGGTCACTTTGCCAGAGTCTGCCCTCAGAGGAAAGAATGGCAAGGGATGGTAGGGGCTGTGGATGGAAGAGAGGAAAATATACCGGAGCAAGTAAAGCCAACGCCTGGCTGCCACTGTCAGGGCACAGCAGCCAGGCCAAAGAGCAGTGAGAGTGCCCACGCCAGAACCTCCTAAACCCGCCCTAGTGATAGAAGTGACGCTAGAGCTGCCAAACGGACACCCTCTAAAGATAAAGGCGCTGTTGGACTCAGGCAGCTCCTGCAATTTCATGAGCAAAGAGTTTGCAGCTGAACACCAGATACAGACAATCCCTTTAAGCAGCCCCTGCAGGTGACCACGATCGATGGCAGGGAGCTGTTGGGTGGAGAAGTCAGCTTGCAGACCGTCCCAATGATAATGAAGGTAGCAAGGCACACCGAACTGATAGCTTTTAATGTGGCCACCTTGGGAGGAGCTCCCATTATATTGGGGATGAGCTGGCTAGCGTTACATGATCCGCTGGTGGGCTGGCATCAGAGAGTGGTTTCTTTTGGTTCAGCACATTGCTTAGAACACTGCAAAGAGGGAAAGGGTTTGGCAGGGGTCCAAGCCACCCTAGCAGGGACTGAAGTAACAGAGAACGTGAAGGTACCACGACAATATGCAGATCTCCGTGACGTCTTCAGCGAAAGGGAAGCTGACCAACTACCCCCGCATAGACCCTTTGACTGTCAAATCAACTTACTCCCTGGAGCACAGCTCCCTGTAGGCAAGCTGTACGC